TGAGGATTAAGCGGTGTATAGATAATGGATGGATGGAAAATCAGCACTGACTGACTAATCAGGAAATCCTTATTTTTTTCTCTTTTACAGGTAAAGCGGCAGTCTTTAAAGCCATAGTAGTGGGCACTCCAACACCTGCTGTAACGTGGAGCAGAGCGAATGGAGAGATAACGTTTCACCCTGACGTGTGCCTGCAAAAGTATGACGAGGCATCTCATGAACACACCCTTGAGGTAAGCTCTACAAAAGCACTCGCAAGGTGCAAATGGTGGCGATCTTCAATAAATCCTACAACTTAACATGCATTAAAAGAGAATAAAAATGACATCAACTCTCTTTGCATTTCATTAGTTCCCTAAGGTCGCTCCGGAGGATGCTGACACCTACAAGTGTTTTGCAACAAATGAGTATGGAAGGGCTGTTTGCACTGTTGTCTTGAATGTTATTCAGGGTAAGATTATTTTTATTCTCTGAATCACTGCTTATCTCAAGTGTTTTGCATGCCAGTTGCATTCATGACAAATAGGGATATAGAATTGTGCCAAACAGGTGCTAAAGAATAAGGTTCTGTTTAATTGCTTGTTCACAGTTGGATTCTCTAAGACTAAGGAACTTCAAAAGGTGCAAGGAGAAGGTGAGGCTCCAAATACAGAGCATATAAAACGTACTGTCACTGCCCTTATTAGACACAAATATCACTCAAAGGCAGAAAAAAGGAATGAATGCAATTAAAAGTACATTTAGCATCTTTCTTCAAAACACATTTAGAGAATGAATGAAAGAAGGTTGATGATTTTTATCAAAAACAACACTTAAAGCAGCTCAGTTTTTTCTTCTACATCCCGTGCCCATACATTTTCATTGCAACTTGACATTTTATTCATCGGAATTATTTGGAAAAATCTGCCTGTAATGGTGCGTCTGTCACATCAGCAGTGTCACTGTGCACTGACGCCTGACAAATCAACGGCTCCTTTTGAAAGAAATAATATGGACTCTCAGAAAACTGCTGTTGTCGTGGCTATGTTGAAGTTGATTACAAAGTTCTGAATGGAATTTTTTTCCCCTCTGGTCTAAGTGCTGTTAAGGAGACACTGGATACTCCTCATTTATCCATTAGGAGTTAATTTATGCTTTTTCTTTAATCAATGTATTATGTGTAAACCATCACTTAAAAACAATACATGTTCATTGACATACCAGTGTTTTTCATTGTGGTTCCCCAGATGCAACAGACTTCAGAAAAAAACTAAAAAAGCGGTAAGTAAAAAAGTTGCAAATTGAACTGTTTGTTAAAATATAGTGTATTCTTTATTGCAGTGATTTCTACATTGATTCCTTGATGGCACAATATCAATTATTTTAGCGAAAACGCACTGATGAGTGGAGCTTAATGCGATTTCTTACTCTGCAGTAATCCGGATGGCACACGCGAAGAAAAGCCAATGGAGCCGGAGGAGAAGGTTTGGGAAATTCTGCTTAGTGCCGAGAAGAAGGACTACGAGAAGATCTGCGTTGACTACGGCATCACAGACTTCCGTGGCATGCTGAAGAAACTGACTGAAATGAAAAAAGAGAGAGAAGAGGAGATTGCAGAGGTACTCCGCCTGACGATTCAGTCAATCAGGATCTTCTCCAATAAAAGTCCTTAAACATTTCTTCATGCTTTATTTTAATAGTTTGTTTTCCACTTTGATGCTTGAACGTTATGATAATTGCATGTCTTTACCTGTTCGTTTCTGCCACAGTTTGTCACACAAATCAGTACACTCAAACATATTGAGGTCAATGACGATGACTGTGCTACAATTGAGTTGGATATGGACCTCAAGGATCCTAGCAGCAAACTTTTCCTGTACAAGGTGAGACATGAACTACTTCTGGTACTGTTACAGTTTTTGTTCATTTCATTTTGTGTTTGTTTCAATATGATCAAGATGCAACAATTCCCTAATTTCTACAGAATGGTGTCATGGTTCCCTTCACCAAGGAAGACTGCGAGGGAATGAAGCATAGTTTGAAACAAGTTGGCAAAAAATACATATTCACAATTAAAAAACTGGGTACTGAAGATGCTGGACTCTACTCAGTGGATGTTGAGGGTGTCAATGTATTCTCCACAGACTTTAAAGGTATGTCTTCAGTCGAGAATTAAGATTAGATTAGGTCTGAGTCAATTCTGCTACTTTTCAGGTTATATATTTAAATATTTATACATTATGGTTCACCATAAAGGTTTTTTTTCCCTTCTGATATTAGTTACTACAACTGTGATGAAATGCACACAATAAGAGAGAGCAGTTACATGTGACTCTGAGCAGAATAAGCAAATTTAAAAAAGGATTAGACAGATGGAAGGAGTTTGACTAGTTTGTGTCTTTTTTGTCTTTTTGAACCTTTGCAGTGCCTGAAGTTGAATTTGCTGTCAAAATACAAGAAGTCAAGGCAGAAGAACGAGAGGATGCCCTCTTTCAGTGTGTGCTAAGTGCACCCATGAATGAGATCAAATGGTTTGGCAAAAATGCTCCACTGTCAAATGGAGAGAAACATGAAATCATTGTATCTGAGGATAAGCTTATCCATAAGTTGATTGTGCGGGACTGTATGCCATTGGATGCTGGTATCTACGCTGCCGTGGCAGGAATCAAATCGTGCAATGCCTGGCTTGTAGTTGAAAGTAAGACATGTTTTCTTTTCTTTTTTATTTATCTTTGGGGATTCTTATTATACAGTACACACTGCATGCATAAATGTGCTACATCTTGAAGATGCTTTACCCTGACACAGAATAATTGTTAATTTCTGACCTTAACACTCATATATATTCATACCATCTTTCATAGCTGACAAAGATCCCGCCAATAAGGGCAAGAAGGCAGCTCGTAAATCCACCATGGCTGGAGGTGGCAATGATGAAGATCTGGTGAAAATAGCAAAGGAACAGCAAGAAAGATATCAGAAAGAAATGGAAGAAAAAATGGAAATTGCCAAGAAAGCCCAAGAGGAGAAAGAAGCTGCAGATGCAGTTGCCCGAGCCGAAGCAGAAGTAGCCAAAAAGGCCGAAGCGGAGGCCAAAGCTGCAGCTAAGGCTGCAGCCAAGGAGGCTGCAAGGGCAAAAAGGGCAGCAGCTGCCAAGGCTGCAGCTGCAGCAAAGAAAGCTAGAGAAGAAGCTGGTGGGGCCGGCTCTGCTGCAGGTGGTGCAGGGGGTGCTGGTGGTGCTGGTGGTGCTGGTGGTGCAGGGGGTGCTGGTGGTGCTGGTGGTGCTGGTGGAGCAGGAGCTGGTACAGGCGGAGGGGCTGGTGGTGGTGCAGGTGGAGGAGCAGATGGGAGTGGAGCAGGGGCTGGAGGTGCCTATGGTGAAGGTTTAGACTTTGATGGAGAAGATTTTGATGGAGAAGATTTTGATTCATTTGAAGATTCTGATGAAGATTTTGAGGGAGAAGGAGGAGAAGGAGGAGAAGGAGGAGAAGGAGGGAAGGGAGGAAAAAGAAGAGGAAGAAAAGGACGGAAAGGAGGGAAAGGAGGAGTCGGAGGAGAAGGAGGAGATGGAGAAGGAGAAGAAGATGGAGAAGAATGGGAAGAAGGAGGAGAAGGAGGAGAAGGAGGAAAAGGAGGAAAACGCAGGAAACGTGCGAAAGGTGGTGCACTTGTTCCGGATACAGAAATAGGTGAGCCTTTAATTTATTCTATAATATTGATTTTGTTGGGATTATGACTGTATATATATATATAAATGTAGCTAATTTTCTTATTAGTTTTAATTCAGATGTAGTACAATAATAATAAAGAAAATACAGAAACATTCTTTCTGTCTTTATTCTTTTAAAGACACTATTTTTTTTAACTTTAAATATTATTAACAACAGTAGCAGAAGAGCATATATTTGTATTTTTCATTGCTGTTTTTCTGCATTTAGACAACTGTCTTCTCTGTATTTCTTTTGTCAACACCTTACACTACTTTTTATGTTGGTGTCACTGTCTATTAATTTCTTTCTCATCACTACGTCCATTAATTTTTCATTAACAGCTTTAGTTAACAGAAGAGTTAGACTTTTATGGAGGATTTTTAAAAACTCGAGTTTTTTAAAGAGGATCTGATGATTTCGAGTAGAGTCTTCATTACATTTTGTGCAGGTTCAGTATAATGATGATGTCCATTCTGTATAAAACTGCTATTTATCATTACTATTAGGAGATATTAATGATGAGGAAACCACATATCGACAAGGTGCAAAATCTGGAAAAAAAGGAAAACGTCCCAAAAAGAAAAATGTGATGGTTGAAGAAGCTGTTGTTGGTAAGCGGTGTCAAAGGTCGCATGCTGTAGAGCTTACAGCTTACAGCTTACTGACAAAAAGTCACTGGCAATGAAAATGACTGACATCAGGGCTGTAGGGAGTTCTAAACACTTCCCAACATTTCAAATATTCTAATTGTTAATGAAGCTACATTAACAATTATTGTATATACCATCGACCGTATGAGCCACTGACACTATGCAAAGCTCCTCACTGCTCTGCTTTGCCAACAGTATAATCAGCTTAAAGCCCCATGGGGTACATGTGGATGAATCCAAGGAAGATTCTGAATGACAGAATTAGTTTTATCCAGGATGAGTAAGATGATTTACGAGTTATGTTTATTATTTTTGTAAAAATCCTTGCAGGTCTAGAGCTGAAAATGTACAGGACAGTATAGTTCTCATATGTCATGATGTTTTAACAGATCACATGGTTTTCAGTACAGAAACACTTGAAAACCCCAGGCTTTAACTATTAACTTAATAACTCTGCTAAATTTGGGGCATAGTCAATTAATAATGTAGTGAGTTTTGATCGTTAAACGTCAATTCTATATGTTTGCATTTCTTTATATGTTTGTTTTGTGCCACGTCTGAGAAACAAAGCAGCGCAGCATGTAAATGCTCTGCCAAATTCTGCATTCTCGTTTATTCCATCTTTTACAAAAATATAGATGTGTGTGTCTATATTTGTGTTCTGTGTGTAATATGTGTGTTTTCGTGTCTGTAAACATGTTGGTCTTTTGCTGTTATACATGAGCATACGTTGTATATTTGGGGGCCAAGCAGCCAAGCTACACCGGCACCTAATTTGTTTAGATCTTTTCTTATGCATCATCTTCCGTCTTCTTCTGCTATTAACATCTGTTGCAGCTCCCGTAACCACACAGTAAGACAATTAGTAGGTAGTAAGTAGTAGTCGGAAGTAAGGAATTTGATTTGCAAAAATTAGATGCTGTTGAAGTCCCTGGATCAAGCAGAGTTCCAAGTACGACAACAGATAACTTCTCATCTGAGTGTTTAAAGCCTGCACATCCTAAACTCGACATCTTGTCCGAGCAAACAGGATGTGACATCATATCACTCGCAAACATTCTTTAGTTAATTTACATTAAAATTGCCATCAGTGGTTACAGACATGCTTTTAACATGATCAGATCAAGTTGCCATGGCAACTGTGATGGCTGAACTGCTTGGCCCCCTCACCGCTGCTTGCAGCTAAATTTCATGTATGAATTTGTCATGTGGAAGATAAATGGAAAAGGTGACGAACCAACAGATGTATTTGTGGGTATGTACTTGAGAGCATTAAAGCTATCTTTTCCTGACACATTTCGAATCTCGTTTGTTGTTGTGAGAGACAGAAATACTATCTGTAATGCTGCATAATGCATCCATGTCACAAGTGATACCAGATGCAAGTTGGATCTCACCTTTTCCACTTCCTTGTTCTTCTGCATTGAAGTTCATGTTTGTTATTCCTGTTGCTGCTGTATATCTTGCTTTCATCCTCTATGTCGACATTTTAATTGTTATTGTTGCTGTTTTCATTAATGTTATTTGTAAGGCAACAGCAAATGAGAAACATTGGATTGACGGTAATTACGATGATATCCCCTAAAACTGAAAAGCACAAAACACCGAAGCAAGTGATGCCAGTGGTGATAATGGCAGCGGGCCAGCAGCAGGCAGTGATGAAAATGGTGAGAGTGCAGACGGTGGTGAGCCAGCAGCAGCAGCTGGCAAACGTTCAGGCCGTAAACGGCATGGCCCATTGATCGAGGAGACAGTTAGTGGTAAGATTACGGGCGTTGCTTTAACTGCTGCATGGGAAGCACTGTCACTGCACAAAGTCATTTTGTGAGTAAATGACTTTCCCAGTGGTTTCAGGGTTAACACAATAAAAGTGTGAGACCATTGAGCAGAAGGCTACATTTGAGCTCTAATTGGTTAATAGCATTTCAGAATGATCAGAGTTCAACAAGACTGAGTGTAACCTTGAGTGTCTTTACAAAAACGCTAATCAAATCTGATACACTAATGTGTTTTTTTGTGGATAGGACACAGCATAATTATTTTCTCAGTTGTAGTGATAGTGAAATTAATTTAAAAAAAATTAAACCTATGTGCTTGTAAATAACAGAACAGCATTAGTTACGTAATTTTATTTCTGTGACTTACAGGTTGGATATCAGCAGACATTTTACGGTTTATTTTTTTCTACCTATGTCTCTCACGTACTTGTTTGAAGATTGTGACTGTGTGTGCGATGTTTAAATGCATCTGTGCTCTGTGTGCATCTGTGTTAACATCCTTGCTTGCCTTTTTAAATGTTAATTCAGGATGAGTCGGTGCATTGAGGTTAATTATTTAAATGAGCAACTGCAGAACTGATTGTGTTCTTGATACAACTGAAACACTTCTGTGTAGATGCACTCTTACATAACTGGAAGAAGGAAGACAACTTGAGCTGACCTTGGAGGATGACTATGCTCTAAACCATTTTTTTTTTCCCCACTGAAGACTGAATTCATGTCATACAGACAAAATGACACATTTTGTCACTGTCCAAGGAACTGTCAGTGTCCCGTGGGGGAAATTTTACATCTTAAGAGCCTGTCTTTCTTTCAAGGCTAATTAAGCAAACAGAGGCAAATGAATAACTCTGTGAAGACATTCTTATGAGCTGTGCCAAGAGTTCAACTCCATAAAGCTGAAGAAGGCCAAACAAGACACTCAAGCTGCACTTTAACAAAGAAGACATTTTCATCAATTTTCAGTTTAATGCTCACTTCTTACATTCGTGACAAACTGTGTCTTCAAAGGTGACATTTTCAATGTTCTATTAGTAGATAATAAAAAAAACATGATATTAACAGAAATGTAGAAAGAAGAAACTGTTTGATGTTTCAAAAGAAGGTAAGTGTACACACTTGGAATACATACAAGTGAGTAGAACATGCATCTGTACATACACGAATGCATGAAATTATTGTAATTGCTAATTCACAACTACAAAAGTGCCTTGTATGTAGATGGCGAGCAGTAGGACATATGCATTCACTAACTTGCTGGTTGATAAATCTTCAGACCCTGGAGTCCACTTTCACGCTGGCCTGTCTGACTGCAAAGCCATTATTGGAGAGGCAGCAGAGTTGGAGTGTAAACTGAGCAGTGAAGACTGTGAGGGAATCTGGTACAAAGACGGAGAAGAGGTAAGCCCTGGGTGTTAATGCAGTCATTAGCATGGAGGCTTGGATGCAGGTGCAGAAATAAAGCTCAGTAGGTACTGGATATTATCACATTATTGTACACCTTCACGTGTCACCTTATTTATACTTGCAGTAACGTAGTTATTATTTTCCAGATTAAATCATCTGAGGGTATCACTATTACTAAAGAGGGAAGTTTCCACAGGCTGAAAATTCACAAGGTCACAGAGGAATTTAATGGAACTTATAAATTTGAAGCAGATGGACGGAAGACTGAGGCCACGATTGCTGTTGAAGGTAAAAACATTTGTCTGACAAAAATGACTTCCGTTGCATCATTCTGTAGAGAACGCCCGCAGGTTCGGATGAAAAAGGATTTTTGAGAACACGGCTTAGTACTCCTCAGTTTATCTAATGTACATAACTAAATGAAATGTCTGTCTGTAATTTTTATTCATGACTCATTTTAGATCCACCCCGATTTGATGCCGAGGAACTGGAGGCATTTAAAACTCCTGTAACTGTGAAAAAAGGACACAAGGCTATGTTTAAATTGCCATTTATTGGACGGGAACCGATAAAAGTTCAGTGGTACCTTGACGGTGAGGAGCTTTCGGAACAGTCCAACATCAAGATCGACAACGCAGACGGATATAGTACTTTGCTTCTGTTGAAGCTGCAGCGCAAGGACAGCGGTGAAGTGAAGATGAAACTCAAAAATGAGTTTGGTACTATTGAGGCCATCAGCCAGCTTGTTGTACTGGGTATGTATGAGACAGATTCTATAAAAACCTTAAAACATTTTTCATTCAGGATTTTGTGAAAAATAGGTATTTTTTTCGAACTTAAGGTTATGTGTTCTGTACTTTGTTTTCTGCCAGATAAACCCACTCCTCCAATGGGACCTCTGGAGATTGTTGAAGCGTCCTCCTCTGCAATTGACTTTAAGTGGAGACCTCCAAAAGACAGCGGTGGCTGCAAGATAGGAAACTACATCCTTGAACGACAACAAGTCGGTCGCAACACCTGGAAGAAAGTTGGTCCAATTGGTCCGGATGCCAAATACAGGGACCTCGACGTAGACCACGGCAGGAGGTACTGCTACCGTATCAGAGTGGAGACTGAAATGGGCACCAGCGAGCTGATGGAAACGGAGGACATTCAAGCTGGTACTAAAGGTAAGCACAGATTAAAATGACTAAAATGGGGTCAGCTATAAATAATCACTCGAAATTAAAATGGCAAACGAAACATTAACGATCAGCAGATTCGCTTGCAGACTAAGAATGCATATCGATCACATCAAGATGAGCTTCGATCAGCAAATTCATAACATTCACCAACAGCAAACTGCATTGACAGGGCTGGCCTCTGAAGAAAGAGTGTAGCTTTTTTGTTGTTGTTGTTGTTGTTGATGTTAAAACATCAAACTTTACTTAAATCTCCCAGAGAATAAAATGCTCCACAAATCAAGAATAAACTGGTTTTGTGACAGAAGGCGACAGCACACGTCTGCAGAATAAACTACATCAACCTATTGTCTTGCTGGTAGCCAAGCTAACGTTCTACAAACTAGCTTGCCAGTAGAGCATTTTTCTCTATTCAATTTATTCAATGAAATTAGGTGCAATTGGGAAGGGGGGGGGGATGCTCATCAGTGGCTTTGACAGTTGTAATCATCCTCATGCCTGTAGTCTTGGCTCTTTCCCAAAGTCAGATGGTTTGACCTTGATGAGTCACTTCCTGGTGTGACCAGACTTTAGTTTAACTGTTTTAATAGAAGCATACATAAGCATACGGAAGGTGAATTTGTTAGTAGGAAGCCTTCAACATGTAGTGAAGTTATGGTATTAATCCAAATTTAAATTTTATTAACCCAAATTTATGATCAATTCCTCCACAGTCCAGAAGAATGTTGGTTACGGACCCCTTTAAATGAAGAAATAATCAAAAATCTCCGTCTTGTCTGTACACAGCATACCCTGGACCTCCATCAGCACCAAAGGTTGTCAGTGCCTTCAAGAACTGCATTAATCTGGCTTGGATTCCCCCTTCTAACACCGGAGGAACCAATATTCTGGGATACAACCTTGAGAAACGCAAGAAGGGCAGCAACCTGTGGGGCCCAGTCAACCCGCCCGACGAAATGATCAAAGGTACCTTAATTATTCACCTGTTGTGTCTGTTTGTTCGTATTATCACAGCTTGACACTCAAAGGTGGTGGTCTACTAATGTGTCTACATTTGTCCCATACAGGTAAAGGATTTGGTGTAAAAGACGTGGTGGAGGGCATGGAGTATGAATTCCGTGTGTCAGCAATCAATAACTCGGGAGCCGGTGAATTCAGCTCACCATCTGAGTTTGTGTTTGCCAGAGACCCTAAAAGTAGGTGGACATTTACAGATATCATGACAGTGCTGCCATCTTTTAGACTAAACGAAGCATTAGTGTGATTAAAACAAAAAAAAAAGTACGAAAAGAAAATAAAAAAGACTGACTTTGAACTATGTTACAGAGCCTCCTGGTAAAGTCATTGACTTTAAAGTGACAGATTCCACCTACACAACCCTGTCCCTGTCTTGGACCAAACCCAAGGACATTGAGGGGGTTGAAGATGAAGCCAAGGGATATTATGTGGAAATCAGGCCTGCTGAGAACACAGAATGGGATCGCTGCAATACTAATGCAATAACCATGAATTCCTACACAGTAAAAGGCATGAAGTCTCTGGCCATGTACTGGGTGAGAGTCATCGCTACTAATGATGGTGGAGAGGGAGAGCCACAGGAGCTGGATAACTACATCCTGGCTATGCCCCCTCCTGGTGAGAAAAGTCCCTTCAGTTACTCATGTCATACAGCTAGTGTATTTAATACTGTGAGTACAGGGACTCTGACAATATTTAAGAGTACAGACATAGTATATACACATTATCATAGTAGAATAAAAAATTAGGTCAATATTCACAAATTCACTCATGAATTCTTGGTTTTTTTAACAAAGTGTCACATGACTCAAGTTAAGAATAATTTCTAAATGTTATGTTTTTGGATCACAAAAAAAAAAATCTAAATCAAAATAGTGGCAACAGCACAAGCACACAAATGTTTATCCGGTTCAATTTCCTGGTGCCGTTTGGTTTTGGTTGTGAAAGCACATTCTGACCAGTAATAAATGCTGTTTAAAGTCAAATAAAATAATTATTAACTACAACAAAATTCCATAACTGAAGATTCACTTTGTACTTTTGCAGTCTGTGTGATTGTTCTGTTTCACAACGCATTCTTTAGAGAAAAATCAGTTGTTACCATCTAAATGAATGACAATGACTATCTTTCGTTTATGTAGTGAGGCCACGATTCACAGATGCCAAAATCAAGACTTTCATGGTGGTGAGAGCAGGAAATTCTGCACGATTCAACATCAACTTTGAGGTAATTTAGGAAGTAGCATGTGTAGTGATCTGACTTTATCTTCATGTGAGTCTTACAAAGATATATTTTTACATTCTTTGTAGGCATCCCCTTGGCCCGAGGTAACCTGGCTGAAGGATGGAGTGCCAGTGAGTAAAAAGGTGACCATCAGCAATGCAGAGGGCACATCTCAGCTTCTGATTCCTTCTGCTGAGCGCACAGATACTGGAATCTACACTATCATTGTCAAAAACATTGTTGGCCAAGAAACAATCAGTACTGAAATCAGAGTCACAGGTGAGTTTCGTGTAAAACTGTAGCATTTTACTGTATAAATACCTGACTCCTATTCCATATACTGCAGCTAAAAAGAAAACAAAACTTGTATCTGACCTCCAGATGAGCCTAAGCCACCAGGTCCTGTGGAGCTTGATGAAAACGTGCCTGGCACAGTGACCGTTTCATGGACCCCATCCCCTGATGAGAAGCGTGATGACAGACTGCACTACATGGTGATGAAGCGTGATTCAAACAAGAGAACATGGAACACGGTTGCAGATCGAATCTTCAATAATAAATTCACAGCCTGCAACATAATGCCGGGCCGTGAATACCAGTTCAGAGTCTACGCAAAGAACGACATGGGCTCCTCAAAACCCTCCGAATCACCAAAGTGGCTGATTTCCTGCAAGAAAGGTGTGCAAATGGATCTGAGTAGACTAATATCTGCAGTTGAAGGAAGACATTTTGGCATTTTTCAAAAACTCACAGCCTTAAGCAAATGCAATACTTTCATATGAGCTGCTTTTTAAAGCACCAAGGCCACAAAACAAAGTTGAACTCTCTTGCCCTTCCTGTCCTCATACATCTTTCATAATAATGTTGAAAGATCATATAAGCTAAGTTGATGCATTTAATTCAAAGAGAATGATGTTATGGAACCAGACATATGCTGTTCCATAATCATACTGTCCACTATTTTACAGAATTATTTCTGTGCTTGTATCTAATTCTAATTTTCTATGCCATGGGTGCGGACACCTACAGAGACATGTAGGTTTTTTAAGCATTGGAGCAAAGGTCAGTGCAACAATGCAGGTTGATATTTTGGGGGCAATAAAAAAAATCTGTTTAGCCTCACCAACTGTCAAGTACAGCCCTCATTTTGTCCTGTGTCCCTTATTCCTTTGATGCATTTCTTTTTTTTGTTCATGTGAAGTGATAACAATACTCAGGAAGTTCATTTGGAATATTTTTTCAATAACAGCACAATTTCTATGTTGCTTTGCTGTATGATTACGAAAAAACTCTCGTACTTAAATAGGATCAGAATGTAAAGTAAATTTCGAAACAGCACCGTCATTCGGCCGGTAGTGAAACATGCTCTCGTGTTTGATGAACACAATTCTAATGTATTCAATGTATATCTGCTTTCTTACAGAAAAGTTCAAAGTGAACATGCCAGAATCGAAGCCCTGTAATCTCCAGTGTCCTCCCAAATTCCTTGTCCCTCTAAAAATGCACACTGCTCCTCAGGGCTATGAATGCTACATGAGCTGTGCTGTGAAAGGCGATCCAACACCTCATGTGACATGGCTCCGCAACAATATCAGTCTGAATACCAACACTAACTACTTTATCTCCAACACCTGTGGAGTCTGCTCTATGCTCATATTGAGGGTTGGACCTAAAGACACCGGCGAGTACAAGATTGTTGCAGAAAACTCTTTGGGGAGGGCAGAGTCCTCCACTAAGCTCACAGTCAGAGGTAAGTCTAACACAGTGTATCTGCTTTTGAATGTTTGAAATCTTAACCTTATAACTACCTTTGTCTTTCTTTTCAGAATAAAACAATAAACACTCTGAAGATGATGGAATTGCTCTAAAACCCAAATTTAAGCCAAGATTTTGGTAATTGTATCTTTCAGAATGGAAACCCTGTCAAATGGAGAATGTAATGCTATTTATTAATGCTGGTGAAACCTTCTTTATAGATTTTTAAGTATTTGATTGACAAATTGTTCAAAGTTAAAGTCACAATAAGTCCTTAGGTCTGCAAATGTTGCTGAAATAAGTCACCAACATGTATTGTTGGTTTTAATTTTGTAACATCAATATATGAAAGCATGAAACCCAATGGTGCAAAGTATAACTATGATATGTTAAACAGCAAAATTATGTGTTGAGACTGCATAGCAGTGATTTACTGATTTAAAATGTGTTGTTTAAAAGTGTTAACCTAAAGCTGAAGCAATTATCTGCTTGTGTTTTTTCAAATAATTTTCACATCAAAGATACTTCCACGTGTATAGAAACTGTTCGCTTAAAAGAAAAAAAAAAACTAAGATAAGAAAACATATTGAAATGAAATTTGTTTGCTACTGATCCATGTGACAGTATGTTATGCCTATGAAGATGTGTGTGGGTTTGGTATAAATAAATATTTCATACTGCATTGTGATGTGAGACTTTTTAAGCTGACCTTTGAAAAACAGCTACCACTTAACAGTAAATGCATAGGCGTGTACATAGAATCACCTAAAATAAATAAATAAATGATTTGCCAAAAATGTACAAGCTCTGGGTCAAGCCTGGACATGGCAACCAAGAATCAAAATTCATGCCACTTGTTCACATTCATGAAGTTTTATGTGAATAATTTATGCCCAGTCTTCTAGTATTACCTCCCAGAGGATAGTTTTTTGGGAGGGTCACACATCATTCCAAGTTTAGAGTCACTGAAGAAGAGAGGGTCAACAGTTGCACCCTGAGCACAAACATGACGAGTGCAGGGTGTCGCTTCTCAGTTTCAAAGAGACAAGAATGTCGCCTTATTTCTGCTCAGGTTCAGTCTAAAAATCATTAAAAAAATAACAGGCCCATTATTATTCTGATTTTACAACAAGGTTAAGTTTGTTGTTTTTTTTCACTTTTTGTCAGATCTGTAATTGTCAGAGAAAAAGAAACTAAAGAAGTCATTAAATCTAATCTTTTTTTTTTCCACACAGGCTTTCAGCATTTGAAAACTATAGTTCATGCATTTTTACATTTTTAAACGTGCAAAACAAATGGCTAAGGAGCTTACAAATAATAATAAATGAAATGAAAATAACACTTACCTCTTGTTAAAATGTTGGATAAAGATCAGTCAGCCTATATACAATTAAGCTAATGGAAAAGCAGCTCAGCTCATGGCACATCTATGTCACTTCCCATGAGACTTCCCTTTTTCATATGAGCCAAAAGCACGCTGCTGTTGAAATTCCAGGTTTGAGGGTGGGATTAAGGGAGCTTCACTGCTGCATTATCTCTGGTGGCCCCTTTTCAAGAACCTATAGCACTTTAGGGCCAACGTGCATGTCGGTAAACCTATCCCCAAGAGAAGTAGGTTAGGCTGCTCAGAGTGCTTTCAAAGGCTTTATTGCTTCTCAAAACTGAGAGCTCACATTCAAGCATCATCTGGACCCGGCTGGCAACAGACAGTGGAGCACAGCAGTTTTCTTGAAATATAGTAAGTACATCTACCGAATGCTGGTTAAACCACAGAATTCTAAACATATAACTGCATTTCGTTAAAATTCTTTTTGGATTTTACACCAATCTATATATGTGTTCTGTGTTTGACAGCAGCTCGCATGGTGCTGCAAATTAACTTAAATGGCAGTGAGCTCCAATTAGTTATCCTAACTCAGAATTCATACTAAAGAGGGCATGCAATCTATCAATTCATTAGAGTACGGTTTCTCAAGAGTCCTATGATGAAGTGCTAACAATAAACTACTTTAGCACTGTCTATCTTTTTAGGAAGGGTAAATTGTCAGAGTCTGATTGCACAATATGCAAAAATACACATAGCAAGTTATCATTAAAGATTATTATTCAACATTTTTGTTATGTCTTCTTATGAATATTATTGAGCAGTGGTACCTAACTAGTCAAACTATACAGACACTTTGCATACAAATAAACACTTGATTATGTGTCATTTATGAGATCCTCCCTACACCTTCCTCCCAAAGGTTTCACTATCTTACTAGGCTTAAGATTGGCATTCTGTTTAGCATGTTATCACATAAAAACTCATATCTGCTGTGTAATAAAAAGAAAAATGTGGTCTGAAATTTAATACTTGACATGTTATGCATAAATCAGTACATTCATAACACCCTTGGCAAAGCTATTTTCTCTCTAGGACAAATTTAGCTTCGCAGCAGTGCAGCGAGTGTGCAAAATTGTTAAATATGCAGATACTTCATCAAGTGACACAACTCAGCACAGTTCATTTTAATTAAATTTATTAATAATAATAGTTTATGTAGCTATCAAGTATAATTCAAGCACACAAGACTATGTCTCTCGACTAATGAGATTATAAAAATGAAGGAAGATTCTGCACATAGTGAAGACAGAGTGTTCAAATTATTTTCCCTTTGAGCATTTAGGAAACAATAAGTTGTTTACACCACATATGTGTACAAGTGATACATACATATATGACATCAATTTCATTTTAATTATACCGCTAAAGGATCAATTTAAGTATCAATAAATGTTTGTTTTTTATTAATTAATTTGTTAATCCTTAAACTTGCTGTGTCTTTCGATATATCAGCATTCTGACCCTTTTAGTTCTCCGGATGAAAGAGAGTATTTTAAAACAAATGATGAGATGACAACATAAATAATGCACATGTGTAAAAGTTTTCATACTTGCTGAAATGTACCTATAATTCCTTGATTTAAAATGCACAATGTTTTGACAACTGGTTAGCCTGGAGAATAAGATCTGACTGATTATAAACTTTCTTTGGAAGTTAACTGCGAATCGAACAAAGTGATGAAGACGATACGTGCTTTTTAAAATAAACTGACTTTGATTTAATGACATAAATATAGAAAAGCAACACATTATTATTTGCCTGTGATTATGCCTTTTATTTGAAATTATTAATCATTTTAACAGATAACCTGGAGCTAAAAAGAAATCAAATCCTACATGTAAAGACAACTAATGTTCCATCTGCAGCCACTCACTTATGTCACTGAGTCATGACAGATAGTTTTACGAGGAATGCGACCTACTGTCTTCAAAATTAAGACGATTGCTTGTAGGAATCAACAAATCAAAGTATTCTGTGATCCTGGGAATTCTTTCATTTATGATAAAGACAGCATTATGAAGTGGTGCATCCTTCAACCATTAATCTAATTATTTAATACTGACTTCCCAAAATGAAACTCACTTCATCATACTGTTTAGCCCATTTTTTTTTTTGCAATTGAGGGAGGAATAAATGACCTCCTATTACATCTTTACAGTTTCTTCAAGAATAGACTTTCCTTAAAAATGCATCCTGCCTGCCGTAAGCCACTACTTACACCAATGAAAAGTGATAGTCACTGGAAATCGAGTGCATCTGGTAGAGATTTTAGTTACTTGTCAGACAGATGGGGATTGTCATGGTTACAGCGGTCAAACAAAGCCATCAGCTTCAGACAGAAATCCCATGATATCTAATGCACTCATATGTGACTAAATAGCATGATTATCCAATGCAGAAGTCATAAAAGTGCAGACAAATATAAAAAAGAAATGCTACATAAGCAAACTAAACAGTGTAGCCTTTGGTATTAAGTTTTTTAAATGTGCACCGTAATGTTTTTGCTTTAACAGAGAAGCTGTTGTCAAGATGTTTAAGATACGTAAAGCGAAGGAAGAGGAGCCCACTGCTCCAGGGCAGGGTAAGTAACTGCAACACTGAAAAAACCTGACTTTAATTGCATTTTGCGAACAAAGAACAAGTTCTGTGATCAAAACTGAATGCATACGTAGCTTTTTCTGAGATGACACACCTTCATTTACTGAAATTCTTCACAATTTCTCCATGAAATTGTAAATAACTGGATGCATCTCATCTAACGACAGTGAGGATTAAAAAGAGGTCCCGGGTGCCGGGAGTCATGATCACTCAGTTTGTGGAGGAGCTACCTGAGGGCATGACTACTCCAGATTTCACCCGCAAGCCCATCGCTCTCACTCTTCAGGAAGGTAATGTAAAATATCTTTGAATATAATAAGTATAATTGAATTAGAATGAGACAGTTCTACATGTGCCTCTCGTTGCCACTTCTTCAGGAAAAACTGCTATCTTCCGAGCAATAGTCGTCGGTAAACCAGCACCAACCGTGACCTGGTTGAGAAATAATGGGGAAATTGACCAAGAAAGGTACAAAATTGTCTTCGATGCAGGCACTGGGGAACACCAACTACAGGTGAGCTCTCATAACAGGTTGATTTTAAAATCTATAAATCAATAAATGAATCAGAGGCCATTTTGCACAATTGTAGATTTGCTCGAATATTGATAAATTGAATGAATTGATTGATAGATGCCTGATGTATGTGTGGATCAAGCTGATACCTACAAGTGTTACGCCGAAAACGAATATGGAAAGGCTGTTGTAACTGCTACGCTTAACGTTATTGAAGGCAAGTTTTCATTCTAACATGCATTAAATCAATAGTCATTTCAAAGCTAAATTACGTCGGCCTCACTTCACTCTGATTTTCTCCATTTTAGTTGGCTTTAAAAAGAACAGAGCCATGCAAGAATCAAGAACAGGTACACAACCTACATTTAAAGTATAATTATCCACTGTCAGTTAGATATTCAGTGAAAATCATAACTGTGACGCTGGTTGTGTTGTAGCTATCCGAGAGGTACCCGAGGATTTCAAAAAGAATTTGAGAACTATGTAAGTTTAAAATAAATGTACTAATAATACAAAAAATCATGAGAGTACATTTTTGTTTAGTTGTGTTTTGATCTATTTGTGTGTTGTTTTAATCAATTTTTGATGAGTTTCTTCAAGAATATTTTCTTCAAATGTTTTATAATTAGTTGTTTAAATAGTGTTGAATTGAATACTTTTGTCGATTTTTTTTAAGGGTTGACACCGAACCGAAGGAAGAGGCAAAGCTTGAAATCGATGACAAGTTTTGGGATCTGCTGTTAAGTGCAGATAAGAAAGATTACGAGCGCATCTGTGCGCAGTATGCCATCACTGACTTCCGTTGGATGCTGAAGAAACTAAATGAGAAAAAGGTAGAAAGGGAGAAAGAGCAAGAAAAGGTATGTTTTAGCTTCATCTAAATGTGAATATGAAGCACTTACACAGCTTGACATCTAAAATTAAATGACAGAATGTCGCAACACGAGAGATACAGAGATACAATTTTTTTTTTTTGCTATCTTGATTCTAATTATTATAGGTTGTTGAAAGACTTTGCAACCTGAAGCCCATTGAACTGAGAGATGATGGTGGTGCAGAGTTTGAACTTGAAATGTCCCTCAAAGATACTTCCAGCAAAATTTTCCTATACAAGGTGAGGTGATTCGTATTAAAGGCTGACTTATTGCAGAATTGTGATTTTATTACATAAAAGCACCAAAAATCCTACACCATACTCTGCTCACACATTGTTATGCGCGGTTCATATTACAGGACGGAGTGATGGTTCCTTTTGATGTTGACACAGAGGTAAAACACGGATTGAAGCAAGTGGGAAAGAAGTTTGTGTTTAGCATCAATGGGATTAATCCTGAGGATGCGGGATTATACCAAGTGGAAGTTGATGGAGTAAAGATCTTCTCAACTGACTTAAAACGTAAGATGATGCATCACACAATGCCAGACAAGCGCTATGACAAGCGTGACATGAGTTTCCCGTTAAAGGGAAATAACAGATCCTATGCTGAGCTGTAGTTTTGTGCTTTATCTAGTTCCCAACGCAGACTTCTTGGTCAAGATTCAGGACGTGACTGCAGAGGAGAGAGAGGATGCTCTGTTCGAGTGTGTGGTATCACAACCACTGAAAAAGATTACTTGGAAGGGGAAGAATGTCCCACTGGAGCAGGGAGAAAAATTTGACATTCTTGTGTCAGAAGACATGCTGATTCACTCATTGTTGGTGAAGGACTGTATGCCACTGGATAAAGGGATTTATGCGGCTGAAGTTGGGCTTACATCCTGCAGCGCCTGGCTTATAGTGGAAGGTAGTGTTTGAATATTTAGTAGTATCTGATCTGACTGTTCAGTGCAAGTTTATCAAATAAGTGTTTCATGAAGCATTAAAACTGTCATGCCTCTGTGTATTTTTTATTAGTTGATAAAGATCCAAACTCAGCTGGAAAGAAAAAAGTTCGCAAGACCACTCGGGCAGGTGGTGGAGGAGCAGATCTTCTCAGGATTGCTCAGGAGCAAAATGCTATAGTTCAGAAAGAGAGAGAGGCTTTGATTGCAAAGGCGAAGGCAGAGGCAGAAGCAGCAGCAGCAGTAGCCGCCGCGCTGGCAGCTGAGAAGGCAGAAGCTGAAGCTAAAGCCAGAGAAGAAGCAGAAGCCAGAGCTAAAGCTAAAGCTGAAGCAAAAAAGGCAAAAGCACTGGCAAAGATGAAAGCAAGAGAAGAAGGGGCAAAAGGCAGAGACGGTGCAGAAGCTACGGCTGAAGAGGAAGATGAGGATATAAGCGAGGAGGAAGACGAGGAAGAGGATGTACAGGAAGGGGAAGAAGCAGGTGAACCTGCTAAACCAAAACCTAAGAAGAAGAAAGAAGCACAGGAAGGAGAGGCTCCTGCAGAAGTTGCTGAAACTGAAGGAGAGGAGCCTGTTCAAGAGAAAAGAAAGAGAGCAAGAGCAGGACCACTTGTCCCAGATACTGTCGTTGGTGAGTTGCATCAGAACATAGTGATTTAATTCTGAGTAGTGCTGAATATATGTCCCCGTTCCAAACTAATGATGAGCTTGTCTTTCCTATAGACCCAGGAGTTTACTTCACCAGTGGACTGTCAGATGTACATGCTATTATTGATACTGATGCAGAACTGGTCTGCAGGTTGAGCAATGAGGAGTGTGATGGAGTCTGGTACAAAAACGGGGAAGAAGTGAGGAATTTAAGAGTTGACAGAGTAATAGTTTCACCTCTAGCCCACTGAGATTCAAGCGTGTTAACATTTGTGTCTGCATTTTCAGATAACAGCTACAGACAATATCTGCATTGTTAAAGACGGCACTTATCGTAAACTAATTATCAAAAACTGCAAAGAAGAGGATTCCGGAAAGTACAAATGCGAAGCCGATGGACGGAAAACTGAAGCTGCTCTAATTGTTGAAGGTACTATAATTACAAATGACATCAAGAATGTGTAAAACTGTGCTTTTTAGATCAGCAGTTTCAGTTTGAAAATACCTGAGTTTTGTTTTGTTTTTTTTTTCTACTAGATCCACCAAGAATCAATGAGGATGACCTTGCTGAGTTCATAAAACCTGTGAAAATCAAACGTGGAAAAGACGCAGCTTTCAAGGTAACATTTGTCGGCCGTGAACCCATGAAGATCCAGTGGTACAATGAGGGTGAAGAACAGCTGGAGGACAGTCAAATCAAGATTGAGAGGTCCTCCTCCCACAGCCGCCTGCTGTTAACCAAGTGCCAACGCAAAATCTCAGGAGAAATTAAGATTAAGATTAAAAATGAATTTGGAACAACTGAGGCCATCACACAACTCATTGTACTGGGTAAGGTTTGTACACTATGTCTTAAAAGCCTTTGTTCCTAATTCATAAAACAGTATATTATGCAAGTCATGGACATAAGCACAATTGTTTGTTTGTTTGTTTGTTTGTTTGTTTGTTTTACTTTTTTGTACCATATTTCAGTTTCATGTGCAACATTTTTTTCTAATTTCATATACAACATGTCAATGAAATGTGCAATATTTCCACTTCAGAAAAATGTTTTGTGTTAGTTCTCATTTCTCTATTCTAGTACTAGTTTAGCATACCTGTTACACCTTTATTATACTTGTCACAAGAATATTTTTTTTTTTTTTATTGGGATTAATAAAGTTCTATCTTATCTCATCTTATCTTGTCTTAGATAAACCAACACCACCCATGGGTCCTGTGGACATCATTGAAAGTTCAGCTAATTGCATTGAGTATAAATGGAGACCTCCCAAAGACAGCGGAGGTTCACCCATCACTGACTACATCCTGGAGCGCCAGCAAATCGGCCGAAACAGCTGGAAGAAGTTGGGCAAGATTGGCCCAGAGCCTAAGTACAAGGATGTTGACGTGGATCATGGAAGAAAGTATTGCTACCACATCAGGGCTGAAACTGATCAAGGCACGAGTGAAATGATAGAGACTGATGACATCCAGGCAGGGACAAAGGGTAGGTCTTTTCAGAAGTCATAAGTACACTATATGGTCTTGAGAAAAGCTTTACATGAGCAAGCGTTCTCTCTCTCTCTCTCTTTTTTTTTTTCATTCTCTCAGCATACCCTGGACCTCCATCTACACCAAAAGTTGTCAGTGCTTTCAAAGACTGTATCAATCTCGCCTGGTCTGCACCTTCTAATACCGGAGGAACCAACATTTTGGGATACAATGTGGAAAAACGCAAGAATGGCAGCAATCTGTGGAGTCAGGTCAACCCACCTGATGAGCCCATCAAAAGTAAGGCCATTATAGAATGACTGTGTTCAATATGCAGTGCTTTTGTTTACTGTGTGAACACAGATGTGACACTGTTTTATATTTTTACATGCCAACAGCTAGAGAGTATGGCGTGAAGGATGTTGTTGAAGGCTTTGAGTACGAGTTCCGAGTGTCAGCTATTAACATTTCTGGAGCGGGAGAACCAAGTACACCTTCTGAATTTGTGTTTGCAAGAGATCCAAAGAGTAAGTGATAAGATGATAAAAGCTATATTGCTTTTATGCTTAACTGCTTAGATCCCAATGCATACTATTTACACTTTCAGAGCCCCCTGGTAAAGTTATTGACCTAAAGGTGACAGACTCCACATACACCACCTTATCACTGGGCTGGACCAAACCCACAGAGGAGGAAGGAGTCCAAGATGAGGCCAAAGGATACTTTGTGGAGCTTAGACCAGCAGAAAACCCAGAATGGGGCCGCTGTAACTCCAGTGCTATCCTTGTGACTTCCTACACCATTATGGGTCTGAAGTCTATGGCCATGTACTGGGTGAGAGTTGTAGCTACCAATGAAGGTGGAGATGGTGAGCCCCAAGAGCTTGACAACTACATCATTGCAATGCCTCCTCCAGGTGAGTCAGTGCAACCAGTGAATCTGGTACATGAATGAGAAATTTCTTCGGTCACCTTTGCTAACTATCTTTCCCTAAAACTCTTCCCACGTTGTTATAGTGAGACCTCGTTTCACTGACAAAAAAATGAAGAATTTTATAGTAATGAGAGCTGGCAACTCTGCTCGAGTCAACTTCAACTTTGAGGTTCAGTATATCATTCATACTTAATTTTTATACACAAACATGCCAGGTTGTTTCATTTAATGTCCTGTACAAAGTGGCAGGTTACACACATGTCTGCTGCTCTACAAAAGCCTCATCTCAGCCCTGTATATCTCTTGCTGCTGACAGGCCTCTCCAATACCAACAATCACATGGCTCAAGGATGACCTGCCTGTAGCTAAGCATGTGACAGTGAGCAACTCAGACACATCATCGCAGTTAATAATCCCCGCAGCAGAGCGTCATGACACTGGGATCTACACCATCATTGTCAAGAATCTTGTTGGTCAGGAGACCTCCAGCGTTGAGATAAGAGTCACAGGTGGAGTTTATACATCAAATTAATTGAATCATCAAATAAAAGCGAAACGTTTACGAAAGGTTGTGTGGGTGTAATTTAACAACGACCTAACTGACCAGTTGCAAATATGCAGTAATTTTGGTATCTAGTGATCATTTGGAGCCAAAAAGTATTATAAGAGCATTCCCTATGCAGTCAGCAAGAATGCAAATGCCAAGGTAATACTAATAATGGTTTCCTACCTGTTTCTAGATGACCCAAAGCCTCCAGGCCCCGTGGAGCTGGAGGAGAACGTGTCTGGAACAGTGACAATCTCCTGGACTCCATCTCCAGATGAAAAGAAAGATGACAGGCTGCACTACATAGTCACCAAGTGCGATTCTGTTAAGCGCACTTGGCAAACTGTGGCTGAACATCTATTCAACAACAAGTTCACTGCCATCAATATCATGCCAGGCAGGCAGTACAAGTTCCGGGTCTATGCCAAGAACGACATGGGACTCTCCCAACCCTCTGAGTCACCAACCTGGGAGGTGAAGAGGAAGAAAGGCAGGTTTCAAAACCAGTGATTGAAAATGGTGTTGCATAGAGTGGAAAGAACAGATTTATTAAGTGCTGATCAGAAGTTTGTTTCAGTTCAGACATTTTTAAACTAAATAAGTGGTGTGTTTGGACTGTCAGAAAAATCGAAATTGTAAATTAGCCACCTTGGCTTCTCATAACTTTTATTGGGTATTTTATAAAAATTTATTTATTCCAATTAAGTGACTGAATTATCAAAAATATACCAACGGATTATTCTCCAACAGAAATAACTGTTACATGTCTAAATATGTGTATATCACATTACACAGCTGGAAAAACAATTAGTCCATTCACTGATCAAATTAATGTTAATCAAAAACTTTTCTGATCATCAAAGTTGAAGTGTCGCACTTTTAAATCATCAGCTACATGAAAGCCCTGAGACACAGACATATCAATGGTACGAGTAGTAGTCATCCTCCAAGAAAACTTTCTGAGGCTCCAGATTAAAAAAAAAAAAGTAATAACAAAAAAAATTCAGCAGAAGAATAATAGTCTAAAAAAGAAAGTGGTCAACAGTGAGACATGTCACTCATCAACAGTGTTTGTGTAATTACTTTTACTGCCAGAAGGTGCAACAAAAGTTGTACACTGCAGGTTTAATCATTTCAGCATTCTTTTCTGGAAAATACCTGTTCCACCTTTTCAAATACAAAGTTTTGCAGATTTTCTTTGCAATGTGATAGTCTGTTGCACACTGTTATGTTCACATACGGCTTCAACCTCTGAGAAGCAGTGATGGGCATTTTTTGTGGGCTTTTTATTTTATTTTTTTAACATTTTATAGACAAGATGTTAATCAAGATAAACTGGCAGATTAATCCACATCCCACTGTAGATAATGAAGGGAGATAAACAAATTAATTAACAAGTCAAAAGAATACAGCCATAAAAAGGGTATCTGTATTACATTCCTTTAACGGTTTTTGTATCCTTTCAGAAACATTTTCTTTGACGCTTCTTGAAACTAAGGACTGCAACTTTGAGACGCCTCCCTCGTTCTCTGTTCCACTGAAACTGCACAGCAGTCCAGAGAGCTACGAGTGCTACATGAGCTGTGCTGTGACAGGAAACCCCAAGCCCCATGTTACCTGGTACAGAAACAACGTCAGCCTCAACACCAACACTAACTACTACATCACCAACACATGTGGGGTCTGCTCCATGGTGATACTCAAAGTTGGGTCCAAGGACAGTGGAAATTACTCTGTCATTGCTGAAAACCCAATAGGCAGAGTGGAGTGTTCCACTAAACTTGTTGTTAAAGGTAAATATTCTCCACAGTTTTTTAGCTACATCTTAAATGTTGTTCCCATTGGTTTGACTTTAAACATTTTCCTCTCTGTTTTCCCCACCTTTTCAGAGTAGGATGATGCAGTGATCCTGAACTGCCCAACAAGCCTGCTCCATTTCATTAAATGGAACATAATTTACCAATTGAAAATCTGTCATCTGTGTTCTTTTTTTGTGATTTCATGTATTAATGTGTTTAAATAAACTGTAACAAAGACAATAAAGTATGATTAGTAATGAGAAATAAAGAAAAAACTTGCTGATAACCTACCACAAAAGTTTGTAAGCACTCATAAAAATGTGAGGTCATAAAATTAGCAAGATACAAATCTCACACCCAACCTTTCACATCAATCGGTCACAGTATTAAAAGCACTGACAGGCAAAATGTATAGCATTGACTATTTCCTTACATTGCAATGTTCTACAAGGAAAGCCTGGGTCCTGGCTTTCATGATGTTGTTACTTTGACATGTACCACCCAACAAAACTGAACACATCCCAGCATAGTAACAGTACACCCTAAAGGCAGCAGCCACCCCGCTACATCTCAAAAACTGCTAAAGGAACATGACAAAGAGCTGATGGTGTTGACCGAGCTTTCAAACTCCCCAGATCCCAGCTGGAGTCCAGACAAGATACTCCAAAGAGGTCCAGTGTTCACGCCCTACTAGGTCAGGGCTGTTTTGGTGTCCAAAGATTGACCTACATAATAATTAGCAGATGGTGTTACTGCTGTGGCTGATCAGTCTACTTAGTGACCTATTTTTACTTGACATATTTTTCTTTGCTGTTGTCAATGCAACAAAATAATACAGTTTTATTTATAAAGTTACTGGGTAGGATGTATTTGGCTGGGCTTTGTGCCGATCCACTTCATGAAAATTGTGCCCCCTAAAGCCTATACATACTCTAGTACAGGGGTGCCCAATCCTGGTCCTCGAGAGTCCCTATCCAGCATGTTTTAGATGTTTCCCTCTTCCAGCGCACCTGATTCAAATGATCAGCTCATCATCAAGCTCTGCAGAAGCCTGATAACGATCCTGATCATGTGATTCAGGTGTGTTGGAAAAGAGAAACATCTAAAACATGCTGGATAGGGGCTCTCAAGAACCAGGATTGGGCACCCCTGCTCTAGTAGGTCTGCTATACTTAGGAACTGCATTACTTTGAACTAAATGATGAGCATGATGCCATGCTAATAATGCATCATAATGTTATTGCATAGGTCGATATTTAGAAAAACACTGTCCTTTAGCATGTCAGTCCAAAATACAGATGAGGCTGATTGAGAAAGTCAGTATCATGACCATCAACCACAGCACTGGGTACATTTAAATGTTGACCTGATGGGAAGTTTGACTTGAAATTACATTTACCCTTTTTCACAGGTATTCTAGTTTCAGAGCAAAAATTAGGTTTGCAACTCCTTAAGCATTATCTAATAATAATAATAATAATAATAATAATAACAATCATTTCTGCTAAAAACAACTGCTTAAACCAATGGCATTAATATTGCTTGTTAACTTAAAGTTAACTCAGTTGCGTGTTACCAATTGAAGTAATTCATTTAAGTTGGTCCAATCATTCTCTTTTCTGCAATCCACCCAAAAGTTAAAAAAAAACAACAACAACAACAACAACATTACACCCCACCAAAATCAACCTTGTGATGGTGCAAGATGTAAGTTTAATGGATTATTAAAGTCAACAGGATGCACTGTCTTGGAACCATGAATGTTTTGGTTTTTTTTTTACCAAATGTCACATACCGGTGGTTATAAAGTCATCTTAGGATTCATCATCTGAGGATCGTGAATGTATGTACGAAATGTTACGACACTCCATGAGATAGTGAATTGGTATTTCAGTCAGGACATAACTGGTGACTAAGCCGCTAATCACTGCCATCTGTAGAGCCACACTGTAGCTAAAAACAAACCTGACAACATGTACTGACCTTAAATGCTTTGTTACAAAAAATATATACACATACAGTGGCACTGATGGCTATACTTATTGGTGCGTTCAGATACAATTCAACCATTTTTTAATCTATGTTTACATCTCTTCCAAAACAATATCTCATGTATTAAGTTCCAAAGCTTTTTACTCTAAGATACCCTTGATTGTCTTTCATCCAGTAGCAATCACATGCGGTTTTCCATACAGCCCCTGGGATACTGTGAGGCATTTATTGCGCCTTTCTATTTGGTAACTCCATGTGCAAAGCTTCCGCTTTGCCAAATGTCACATGGTTTTGAATTTCTCTTTTACTGCGAACATGTGTTTGCAGGCTTTCAGAGGATATTGCGAGTCTATTATGGACAGTCATAAATGATACAATTTCGTATGCATGACCAAGTGCAACCTTGCAAACAACTGCTCATCTTTTATAAAGTCCTTGGACACACTAATATTATCAGAAGCCACATGGCATCCTGTTACTATCGATACAACTCTTTAGTGAGAGTTTCTTATACCAGGCTTTGACATTTAAAAGGCTATAACCACACAGCAATAGTATTTGGCAATTCTTTGTAGTGGCATGCTAAAAATACACAAGTTCTGACTGTTGTTTATGTACAGAAATGTACAGCAAAATATTCTCTGAGAACATAAATACAGAGATGCTGTGAATGCTTTATACCAGAAAGTTTAGTATAAGCAGAATAACTAACCATCTTGATGAAAATAAAGAGAAAAAATAGGGGGCGGAAAGCTGCAGATTGTGTAATATTAGCCTGTTTCGTCATTGTTTTGTAGGGTAGAATTCAAGGCTTCTGACTGGAGTGACCTCTTGCAATAAATGCCTTCAAGACCATCAAGCCTCTCGTATCAGCTTCCCATGCCTAAGAACAGTCATAGTTCCTCTGCCACGCATCCGCTTTTATTGCATGGCTTGAAATATCCGCACACACACACAATCGTGCTCAAACTGAGCATAGCTCTGTTAGCAGTAAGACCGCAAAAATTGGTTGGTGTTTTAAAGTGCCAACAACCCTGACTCCACCAGGAATATGACTGACTCACGTAAGGAAATACCCTCGAGTCAGTGTGTTCAACAGAAAGCACATTTCTCCTTGTTGAGAAGTAACATTTCAAATTCCTAAATTAAGTGTGAATGCTTGTTACTTACAACAACACCAGAGTATATATAAGGCCAGTGCACCTCTAAAGCAGCTATGCCAAATTAGCTATTGGGTGATACTGACGACTGATCTACAGAAACAGCTGTATAACGGTGACTTATTACATTCAGAATTCATGCAAATAATTTCTTTTCTGTGTTCAAGCAAAGCCGATTTCACCCAAAGTAAAAAAGTGAAACTCGCCCGAGGCAGAGAAGTAACTTGTCGGAAACAGTGCTCAGAGGATATCTTACCCAATCAAAAGCTCTTTGATGTAAACAGACTCACAGAGAAAACTTATCCTTATTCTGCAGGTTGCACAAACCACTATTAACAGTCTACCATTGTGTCACTGTATGTTTGCTCATCTCTGATTATGTTCCAAACTAATAAAACTGAGACCGTGCAGTCATGTGGTTAATAAAGCCAAAATTAAACACCAGTGGATGTGCGATCTGTCACCTGTAGATATAAAGCATGTGGTAGGATGTGTTCTCTCACTTTTTCTCACAACAGTAAGAATCCTCTTTTACATTTTACCTTGATTTATAAAACATGAGAAAATCCTTTGCTAAGTCAAATTTACATTTAAATTAGTTCCAGAAATAAAAAATTTTTTTTTTGTGCCTATACCTTTTACAGAGCATCATTAAATATATCTGGTACTTGGCTTTGAACAGGTTTTTATAGCTGTTTTACAAGAGATTGGCCTTCTCTACTTGTTGGCCATCACCGAAATGAAAAAAAATTGCCTTTGCCTGCTTTGAGGGGAGATCGTCTTTCAAAGTCAGGTAGATTTCAGTACTTACTGGGTAGAGCAATGTTCAGACTGTTGTTTTGATGTATATTATGTTGTTATATCAGGCTGGAAAAACATAAAGAAAAAAATATCTTGAATCCATAAATACAGAATCTAAAATATACTATTTTAAAGCAATCTGTGGCCACCTGACAATTTGTAAGATTATACTTAAAGGGATCCTGGGCTGACACTGTTATACATGTATTATGTTTACAGTTGCTACTGAAAAGTGCTCGGAGACAGACAATAAACACACTGTATTTTAGTGGGTGTCAGTCAGAGTCATTAGTACATCTAAACATTTATATAGTGTTTTGTTGTTCTTGTAATTTCCTAAGTGGGTCAGCGAGAGCATACTGGGCTGTCAACACCAGTCTCTGACTGCAAACTTGTTCTTACTTTCAGCTCCACAATCCAAGTACGTCAGTGCTGACTGACATAACTGACAAGTGAGACAGCAAAAAGAACAGCTAAATGCAACGCTGTCTGTGTGAAGCTTCGATGAAAAATAGGACTTACTTCTACAACTAACGTGCTAAGGTCTTTCCGGCTAAATTTAGAAAGAGAAAGCAGGGCTGGTGAGATGGACAATACATTTAATTTAGATACATCTCTCAGACTTGATGGATGATTTTTTTTTTCTCTCTGCAAAAACTGATTTAAAAATTGTTTCTTCATTAATGATATACACCGTCTTCAAGGAAATAAGGCTTTATATGCAGGGCCAGCAGTCAGAAGAAAAGTGACACTGGCAAAGCTATGATCTTTTTGCATTCCGTGAACACAATAATAACAGAATAGCAGTATAGTCACTGAGCATTAAAGTAAAAAACTAAACAAAAAACAGCTGGTGTGCAATACCTAGAGAGACAATATTATTTGGGGAATTTTACAACACGTGACCAGGTTGCACACAGCTCGCTGTGACTATGACCTCACACGCCTATTTTTAGCACTTTGTTGAGAGACAGTAAAGGAAGCACATGTCTTCATTTAATGATTTATTACACCTTGTAAATATATATTTTTTAAATGTAATAAAAAATTGAGTAATTTAATTTAAATGTATTTAAAATATTGCCTCGCTCAAAGTGAAAGTGCTAATGTGTGATGATAATGATCATGACTACAAAACAATTTCAAGTCAAAATTTAAATTACACTACAGCAGACAATATGTACTTATATCACAGCAGAACTTCACCTAATTCCATTTCTCAGTCATAAACCATGTCTTGTCCAGACTTCATCTCCTGGAGAAGTTTGTGCGTCTGTCAACAAGAAGCCGCAGTTATGGCCATCCCACCATGAAGCTTGTAGTCAGCCTTGGCTTTCCCTCCTCCCCCTCTCTAGAGGTTGTGATTTATGCCAAAAACAAAAAAGCAATCGCCTTTCTTGGCAGGCACCACGTCTGACAACGTGGGAGCTTGTCGCAGAGTCATTGACATTCCTGTAAGGATTTAATAGCTTGTAGACCAGGGAGGCAACACTCAAATATCAGACAGGGAGGCAGCACCAGTGAAGACGATCGCAGGAGTACGGAGGTAAGTCCATCATCCATCTTACACACAGCATCAGGCTTAGATGGAGGTGTTAAGTATTGAGAGATGGCTACAGTGTTTAACACTGAATGCTGGGCCTAAATCACTCTTAACATGCAGTCCAAGGATAACAGTACTGTAATGTGGCAAACTGTGGAAAGTGTTTGCCTATTAACACAACTCAGCTGCCATGATTTAACAAGTGCTCTGATGTGAATAGCTTTACATCATTCACATTATTCTGAGTACAGTGGCTTCCTAATTACGTTGCTCCTATGTTGTTGCTTTGTTTTTCTTTTTGTGCTCAGCATAAAGTTTGTGCAAATAAAATCAGAATTCAGTAAGTTACCCAAATCATTTTTAAACTCAAGAAAATGCAAACATACGTTAATGCACTTTTCCAGATACAAAAGTGACTCCTGAGAATAGATAAACTTTTTGTGGTCACTAGATCTTATAAACTTTTTTTGGTAAATTTAAATATTTCCAAGCTATCTAGTAATATGAAATTCTATATAAAATCCTTTGACAACTTCATGGATAGTCCGTTTTGCTTACTGAACCACTTAAATTTCTTTTAAAAATCCCATTTTAGTAGCATCCTCCTTTTCCCCAGCTTTAATTTTTTAATATTAACCACAATCCTGCTCTAATCCTGCTTCATCCACACAAGTGTCACGACTTACATTTCTGATCTCTGCTGATATGTTGATTTCTTGTCTTCTAAGTTTAATTTGACCATGTATTATGAGTATGATGTTTGTGTGGATGTTGTTGTGACCTTGTCTGTCTGTCAATTGCGTTACTGCCTGTCTTGGCCAACACTCTTGAAAAAGAGATTTTTAATCTCAATGAGAATTTTCCTGCTAAATAAAAAATAAATATTTAACAACATTTACTTCTCCTGAAAAAGGTATTTTAAAAAACCATAAAAAGCCACTGTAACTTACACTGTAATAACCAAAATTAAGCTAACCGGACACTTGGAGTTACTCAACTCACTCGCTTCAACGTGAAGTCCGTACATAGTCACATACTTTGTGAACATGCCCTTAGCAGTGTCTTGCTTTTAATCATTTTTATGGACTCTGAGTAAACCGTCCCGTGCTGTGTTTCAGTGCTGGTCACAGAGCCAGCTGGTGCCTTTAAGAGAAACATGCAGCACAGGCCAGCATGAAACCCATAAAAAACACTTCTCTCACAGCAGGTTGGGTTAGGCACCATGGCAGAAGCCAAGTGCAAAAAAGGCATTTTAAACAACCTCGAAACTTAAACAGCACATCTCAAAATGCCTACAAAGTTCAAAAAATGTAAACTTCTTACATGGCATTCAGCGGCTCACCATGTGACTTAAAGAGTTGCTTACTATTGCGATTTGAAGTTATGTCAAGTGCTAATCATACACATTTACCCTAAGTATAGCTGCAAGATCTTTAACACTGCCCTTTTTCTGTTCACATATATTGTTCCTCCAAACATAAAAAAGATTTTACACACTGATTTATTGTTGAATTGACAAATAAGTAATAATACATGTAAAGAGTTGGTCGATAATAAAGAGCAGCCCTTTCTTGTGGCTCAGAAAACAAGAATATAATGATTTGCAATAATTACACTTACTCTGTTAAATACGTTTTGTTGTAGTATGACTTAGCCATCATGTCAGCAGTGATTTACAAGTATATTAAGATGTTCGAAGCGGGATGCTCACAGCTTTAGATAACATGTGACCTATCATATGACAGTCCGGTTTTCTCATCTTCCAACAGCCATGAGCTATTGAAACCCAAGAACATCACGCGCCTATACGGGGTGGTGCTAGCTTGTGCAAATACTATACATAAGGCGACGGTCATCAGACCAGTCTGAAATATAGGTTTGATGTGTCTGCTCTACCAGCAACAGCAAAGAACCCTAAAAACTGTGAGTTAGTCAATCTGTCATTCAGTAAGTTTTTGTCTGCGTCTTCGCCTTTTCACCTTAAGGTACAATGAGTTTCATAATCCAAGGTGACAGCTGAAGAGTTTTTACACCTCGGCCTGCTGCTGGATCACTGATTTAGAGCACTACGTCTGTACTGTGTATGTAAAGACACATCACACATTGTGTTCCAGTTGGGCGGAAAGAGCTCCACAGCTGTACATCTAACTGGTCTTGTCACAAGATAGTAGAGAATTCACACAACCCTGGTGATATTTAGTTTTAAGTGACAAATTTACCACAGATTTACTCTCAGCAACCCGCCCAAAGCCTCTAGCCAGCAATGGGAACAAGTGGCATTACCGTTTGAGGAAGAAGGTGCAGATTACAATAGGAATATTAGCATCTCTCCACCAAACCTATAAACCGAACCAAAGCGTTTTGTAGCTCCAGGCAATCTCCTGCATGCTGTCATGGTCACTTTAATTAGAAAACCAATATTTGAAACTACACTGCAATTAAAATGTAAATTCCTGAGAAACGTAATAACATAGATGAGATTTCAGGCAATTTACCGCAGATGAATTCACCCACAGTTTGTTTTTTTCCCTATTTTCATCTTTACAATCTGTTTTCTTTTTTTTTTTTAAAGGTTTACCTCTGTGCGATGGTTTTGACAATATCAAAATGACTGCTTAAATAATGTATAATGTCATGCCGCTTTAATAAAATCGTCTGTTGCTCTTGGCTTTTGGTACTTGTGTTAGCAACAGTTAAATAGCCACCATTCGACACTCAGAAGGCCAGGATGAAATTGAAGTTAAAGTTGCCCTGTGGAGATTTTTGTATTTACATTCAGTGCTACTCACAAACCCCATTTTGTTTATCCTTGAGCTCTCGTTCTGTGCACAATACCTTTCTCATAAGATATTGACAAAGTGGATTTTTTTTTTAAAACTTTGGAAACCCAAAGCAGGGACAAACACATACAAGGTATCAGTGCCAGTTTTTAAAGTCACACACAGTGTTTAAAATAGAAAGTTTAATTGAGGTACTGTATGAAAGTCACTTCAGTCACAATATTTTGACAGCTTCATATAATTGCAAATGACACCGTCTTTAGCAGAGTCTTACAATTATATACTTCAATCAATATAAGCTCTAACCATTGAGTAATATTTCTGCATATCCCCTTAAGCCCCAGCAACACTGAATCATGACAATTAATGTTCAGTCTATTTTAGTCAAGTGACATTTGTCATTCTAAGTTTAGTAATCATGTGGGTAATGAAAGATTGCAATGTACTAGTTGAGATCCCTGCCGCAAATGGAACTGACAGATAATAAAAATGTTAATTTGATAAGCATGAAATCATTTGAGCAACACGCCAGCATGCCGCAGCTTAAAGTGACAAGAAAAACTCTTGAATAATTCTAGTTTAAGCCCAGTAAGAAATGATATTATGAGGTTAATATGAAATTCTATACACCAATTTGCACTTCCATCTTAAAGAGGAGGTTATTTCTGTTTAATATGACAAACCTCAGCGTACAAAGTGACTGTATGACACATGAGAACAGATAATATTATTTTGTGTCTTTTACTGTAAATTGAGTGTCTCCATTTGGATCATAGCAAAAGGTAACAATTCACTGAGCAATGAAAAGCATTTTTTGAGCATCAAAATATTTGCTTGAAGAACTATCACAATTGGTTTTACCTTTGTTTCCATGTTTTATGCATGTGCCTGTTTTTGGAGAGCTGCCTGTTCTACTGTTGAATTAATCTGTAAATAATCAGTCCCTCAGGACCAATTAACAGACATTTAACCAATCCTGGCATGATTTAAGGCGGTTTGCATTTCAGATAATCCTCACAATCTCACATTAAACTGTCAAACTGGAAGAACGCATTTCCAAATATCACCCAAACATTGTACGTTCCTGCACAGATGATCAAATGAAAACATCAGCCTGACTTGGATCAAATAACGCTTCTCAGCCTGCCTGTCTTAAGTTGTTAGACACCAAAGAAACTTTCTTTCTTTCCATCAGTTAAATCTCTGAGACATGACTTCCTGAACTCTGTGCTCTGTACTGAATTCTTAAACAGTTCAATCCCTGTGGATTCATTTCAAAATAACACTTGAAAGCTATGTTATGAACTGTTGATTGCACTTTTAAAGAATGAGGAGGGAAAAAAAATTGCTCCTGCTTTTTCAACAGATGAGTAGAGCTGCTCTTACTGTGCTTAAGTTTCCCTCCATTGTCTATTGCAGCTGGGGAAATTGTGTTGAATTCATTGAGGAATTGAAGGATCCAAGATGATTAAAAGATCAACGGTGACGGATGGGACGGCCAGCGGCCAAGGTAAGTGTGAGGAACTAAAGGAGAACATTCAACAGATTATACTCTATATGTAACACAGTAGTGACAAGCAACCAAATGAAACCAGCCATCTGAACCTCAAGCAAAAACTGAAAGTGTCTGGGGACACTAACAACCCTTCAGGAAACTTATCTTGGACCTATTTTTCTTTTTGCTTAGAAAAAAAACCCTCCAAACTGTCCTTAGTTTTACCTTACGTAATCAAGTCAAATTGGGATCTTGGGATATTTTCTTACCCTAACGGTGAGAAGCACTCACACAGGTACATGCAATATGCCCCAGGAAATCTGACATGTATTTATTACAAAGACATTTCAGTCAGCATTTGATCTCATTGACAGACTCTGTCAAAATAATTAGAACATTTTCAGGTCTGAGCCGAACAGAATAGACAGAATGAGGTTAGCAAAGGAACTAACTGTTTGCATTATTTGTGTATTTACGTACCTCTTTTATACCTCATATTGTAATTATTAACAAAGCTGAACTATACACTGAGCAGCAGACAAATTTACAGGTGCACCTTAAAAACGAGTGACAGGTCAGATATTCTTTTTTTATTACTTGTGTTCCTTTGCATTGATATGTTACTGCACACATATCCTACTGTATATTGCTGTAACCTGACATGGATAAACACAAAAAAAAGCTAAAATATTCAGCTTAACTTGTGCTGATGTGATTTAGCCTTGTCTGCCAGCTCTCACAATGTAGCTATTCAGTACATCTGCGGCTGATGTCGCGTTTTATTTTCTGTGCCGCAGTTTCATTATTAGGTCTAATCTATAATCCAATGCTAGTACCGTGCTGACATGTGCTGTAATGTGCTCTTTAACATGTTCCTTATCAGGTCCTGTGCCAGAGATTTGCAATGGTACAGAAGGTAGGCTTAGGGGACAACAGAAAAGCCATCATAAGCTGTCTCTCTTTCTATCTACTGCTCATGAAGGCATGAAGAACTGATATGCAATGGATTTATTATTATACTGTATGGGCGTACATATATTTTGTGCGCAGATATGTAGGTGCATCACTACATATCTGTTCTTGAGTTGGATTTTAGGCATGGATTCATATGGAAAAGGTGCAAAGATAAATGTTATTGCAACGTTAATGTAATAAACGCAAGAGCCCCATCTACACCAGAGCCACATGCTTACAGTGTGCGACTCAGAATGAAGATAAACTGAGTAACATCAACGTTCTAATATGTCAAGTATTAGAATGTGTGTTTTCTGCATGGTTCTTGTGGGTGATGAGTTGATTAGAAAACAACGGCAGACTTTTTTTTTTTTTAAAGGTTGGATGTGATCACAGTCGTGCTTTTTTTTTTTTTAATCCTCATTTCAAGTGTCAGAAGTATTGTCACTGACATTTCATTTTCCAATGCTGACAGTGGGGATCAAGAAAAAATCTAAGGTCCCCGGGGTGATGATTACACAGTTTATCGAGACGCTGCCAGAGGGAACGAGCCATCCAGACTTCACCCGCAAGCCGATTGCTTTGACCATCCAGGAGGGTAAGAATGATAGCGAAAGAATAATTTTAAACATTTATATCAGAAAAAATACACATTTGAAGGTGAATTTACGTGATTCTGCATAATGTATTAGAGCCAACAGAACTGTGCCAGGCAGATAGAATTAAACAGACAGCAATTTAAAAGCAGGACAAGATTTTCAAAATCACTTTGCACAAGACAAATTTTCTTTCAGAATATGCAATGTGGTTGTGTCTCACACATACTAGTCAAGCACTGTATAATATAGCCTACTGTATATTAAAAAGAAACTGTCATACTTAGTAGCACAGTACACTGTTTCACTGTTTTCAGAAGGTCACATGTCTTTTCTCTTCTTTCAAACAGGCAAATTTGCTTTTTTCAAAGCCATTGTCACTGGAGAACCAAAGCCGACAGTAACATGGAGCAGGAATAACGGAGATGTGTCTGACAAATCGAGATATCAGACCAAATACGATCCAAACTCAAATGAGCATAAGTTTGAGGCAAGCAATAGCAACTATCATATCACAGCGATACTAAAGAAAAACATTCTGATGTAAAGGAGTGGTAAAAATAGAACACAGAAAGACAAAGAAAAAATAGAAAGCGGGGGGACAGAAAAGCAGGACAAGTAGGTATTTGATTACATCAAGGTCATTCGGTCTCTGGACATATTTGCTTTGCCAGGTACTTTCACTGATCCTTAGAGAAGCATGCTCAGCAACAAATTAACACCTAATGCTGTGGAAGTACATTAAAAAAAAAAAAAAAAAAAACTACAGACAAATGTAAAAATGGCAAAAAGCCTCTTTCCCTCCAGGTACTTGAATGGAAATGCATACTTGACCACATCTACTAAAAATTAACAATAGTGTTCATCTAAATATCCAAATTAAAAGCAAATCAACTAAACACATTTGGAATGTGACAGGTGGTGCTGATTAAGTGAGTCCATTATATTTAGCATGTCTTTTATCTTCCAGATGCCAAATGTTATGCCGGATCAAGCAGACACCTATAAATGCTTTGCTATAAATGAATATGGACAAGCCGTGGTCACAGTTGTTTTGAATGTTATTGAAGGCAAGTATGGTTTACTTGTTACGGATGTATGTGACAAATTAGTGTAAGGAAAGTAGCAACAGAGTTTTTTAATATGCATGATATTAAGTCTGCATGCTCATTTACTGTATGCAGATTCTGCCAAATCGGCTTCAAACTGCAAACACTTGAATCCAAATGTCACACTTCTCCTTAAGTGTATTTCAGTCATTCCAGTACTTATCACTCTGAACTCCCACGGTGGTGGTTTTAATGTATGTCCCATTTTTTTCTGATTCCAGTCGGTTACAAGAAGAACAAAGTCCAGCAACCGGTAGCTGAAGCTACCGATGGGAATTTTAAGACTGTTTTGAAAAGGAAAAGGTGGGCCTTTAGATAATTTACTGACAGCCAGGTATTTTCTGTGGACTTACAGGACTGTTCAACTGACTGAGCTATATTTTTAATTTCTAGCAAGGTCCGCCCCAAATCTGAGCAGCCTGAAAAAAAAGATGGAGAGATTGATCCTAAGTTTTGGGAGCTTTTACTCAGTGCTGAAAAGAAAGACTACGAGAAAATCTGCGCAGAGTTTGGAGTAACCGACTTCCGCTGGATGCTCAAGAAGCTGAATGAAATGAAGAAAGAAAGAGAGGAAGAACAAGCAGAGGTCTGTGATTTGTAATACTTGCCTGATAATTTGTTTTTCTCTTTGTGAGGCTTGATGTTAAACAAACATCCTTGGATTTTTGCGTTCAGCAGAAGCTTATTTTTGAGTTTAAAGTATAGTGCATATGAGTTAACTTTCTTTTTCATACTTATTTCTCCTTCTTCTGTTTTTGTCAAAGTTTGTCAGGAACCTGTCAAGCTTGAGACCAATGCGGGTCAATGGAGATGGTACTGCCTCCTTTGAACTGGACATGGACCTCATTGACCCGAGCAGCTCCATATTCCTGTACAAGGTTAGCGTACAAAAAAATTCATCTGCTAGCATCAGAGCTTAACAGTTCAAGGAGGCATTCTGCAAAGACCCTGAAATATCACAACTAGTTTAATTGCAATCTGGCCAGTGCTTACAAAGATGCATCAAAATATTTTTCACTTCAGTCAGACGGACACATGAACATCCTTGGATTCATCCACCAGTAAACTCATAACTCTGAGACATCATATCATTTTGATTTTGCAACATATCCCTTACAGCCGAGGCTCTTTTAAAACACTTAGACGAAGTCATGCTATGGTGCTTTATTTTTTCTTCAAATGAGTGCTATTTCTTTAGGTATTATCTTGCAGCTCTACTTTGCAATGCAAATTTCAACCACCCCAGAGGAAATTGAAACTGAATATCTCCCCTACAGGATGGTGAAATGGTTCCTTACACAAAAGAGTTGGGAGATAAGATGAAGCACAATCTTAAGCAAGTTGGAAAAAAGTATATTTTCAGTATGAAGGACCTTTTGCCAGAAGATGCTGGACTGTACCAGTTGGATGTTGAGGGCGTGAATATGTTTTCCACAGAATTTAAAGGTGAGTAGTTTTACAGTTGCACAGGACACACAACACATTGGAAGCTCAATTAAAAGCAAAGGAAGACAATGTTGTTGATGACCAACGCTAAATTAAGTAGCACCAACTGTTCAATTCAAATTCATTAAACTAATCACTTGTTATTTTTCAGTTCCCATGGTGGATTTCTTGGTGAAGATTCAGGAAGTGAAGGCAAAGGAGAGAGAAGATGCTGTGTTTGAGTGTGTCCTGTCAAACCCTTTTTCAAAGATTCTGTGGTTTGGCAAGAATTTGCCTCTGGAACAAGGAGATAAATACGATATTGAGGTCTCAGAAGACAAGCTCATTCACAGGCTGGTGGTCAAAGACTGCATGGTCATAGACAAAGGAATTTATTCTGCCTGTGCAGGGATCAAATCTTGCAATGCATGGCTGGTTGTAGAAGGTAAGATATTATGCCCCACAGGAACACGAGCTAACAATATACAGTACATGAACTGATATTTACTTTTTGTATGTGCTTTGTATTGATTACTAGCTTACAATGGAAGAATATTGAAAAAGATAACTGATTCCTTTTATCTGTTTTTGCTTTTAATGTCATAATGTGGCATTCTGTACAACTTTGCACAAATCTCACTTTTTTTTTTTTTTTTTGACTCAGCTGACAAAGATGTGCCAAAGGGCAAAAAATCAGCAAGGAAAGCAACAAGGGCAGGGGGATCTGGGATGGATTTGGAGAAAATTGCCCAAGAGCAACAAACAAAATTAGAGGAAAAAAAAGAACAGATTAAAGCTGCTAAAGAAGCTGCAGCACCTCCACCTGAACCCCCTCCAGCTCCTGCACCCACGAAGGTTGAACCCGAGGTCCCGAAACCAAGTACGAATTCCTAGCACAAGTTTAATTTAGTTTCAGCGTTACATGTACAAACACAGAGGCCCAGGCAGAACAAACTTGAAGACAGAAGTCCACAAACAATACAAATATGACAATAACAACTGTTATTTCACATTATTGTGTCTTTCTTTATGTGTTTAGTTATTAAGGTTATGCTAAATACAAATATAGGAAGCTTTGTTGTGTGAATTTGCATATAATACCTGCTTTGGTGGTGTGTAAATGGTTGACAGAAGCGAAGCCAGCACCAGTGAAACCACCAGTTCCGGAGGTCGTAACAAGTAAGAACCGGAAACGACTGCGTGAAACACTGCATGCATTCAAATGTGAATACAACAGCTGTTCAGATTGTCATTGCCTCAGTTATCTGTTTTGCTTACAGTCATGTTTTGGCTTTATTTGATGTTGTCTATATAAAATATAGACAATATAGTTGTCTACAATCACTATCATGTGATTGTCCACCTCTTTAAAGCCAGACTTTGCTTTCTTTGTATTGTTGCAATCAATATGCTTAGAATGACTAGACGGCTAGGTTGCTACGCTTGATGTTGACTGTAGTCTGAGTCATCTTTGTGTTTTGGTTCTTATTATCTTGCACTGAAATATGCAGATTATTTTCAGCTGCTCACATCTTACTTTGTAAAGCTTACATCATGTTTACTTATTGACATGCATCAACTGGTAATTAAGTCTGATTAGTGCTTTAGGTTCCATTCCTGTGGTTTTCCATGTTTAATGCTATTTTTATACAAAGCTGTTTTTCAAAACATGTCATAGTTTGAAAGATTTCTATTGTTTGGACAGTTTTCCCTCCATTTAAAAAGCAGTTGGTTGTTCCTTACAAAGCCATATGAAACTCAGTAGGAACTCAGAATTTTTCTTTTGTTAGCTGATCTATCTCAGTAAGCGTTTATGTTTTGTTTTTTTGCTTTTTTAATTATTGTTAATGCTGTTATGGCTTTAATGTCCATGTATGTACAGACAGTTTGGATCAGTTAACAGCAGCTACAGGATTACTGATCTAAAGTAATCTCTCTGCCAGCTGATTCTCACACTCACCTCAAGACGCAGGGATTTAAAAATATTATCCTCCTAATATGATATTATCATATCTAGAATTGAATTGCATTAGCTCTTCTACTCTTCTCTCCCTCACTGACAATATGTAAATATATATATGGAGGTGCCTTGTTGTATCCCACCGTCCTCCTCCATTGTTTTGAAAATTATGATGAAGGCACACAATTGTAATTAAGTGTTTGTCTGTTCACAACTGACAACAACACTGAACTACAAAGCAGCGTGAGTCTCGAAGCAAATTACAGTAACAACATTAGCAGTTAGCAAACACTTCCTCTGAGTCACAGATACATTCCTTATATTCACATCTCAGAGACAATCTATTATCACGGCCTTGTAAATAAACTGCTGGCAAGGAATCAGCCTTCAAAATGAGCTTGTTACTAAAATCCATGTGATTTTTACAATCCAACCATCTTTGTGTTGCCTTTCTAAATATTAGAAAATATAAAGGTCTCATGTTGATTTAAAGCTGCACAAGCCATCACTGATAAAAGAATGCTTGAACTACTCAGTAAGGTTGACCCACACTAAGAGTTAGAAGAGTCCACACGTACTGTATTTATTAACACCTTTGTTTTAAATTAAGGTGACTGGAAACCAAAAGGCTGGAAAGTATGACGACTTTATGGCAAATCTTTTCAATTCCAGGTAGAAGTATAAAGGTCATTCCATCTCAAAAGCTCAGGAGTCTTTTGCTCGACTAGCCTTGATTTGCTTCAAACATTTTTTAAAAAATTATTATTAACTATTAGTATTTAAAATGGCATCTGTAAAATTTCAGATTGCTGTAATGAATATTTGCTTAGTGTTTCATTGTGGAAAAAAACTTGTTACAAGCTGAACTCTAAGCAGAAAGTGTTTGTATATTTTTTAGTGACTGTATCAACAGTTTTCCTTCAAGCACCTCTTTCAATAAGTACATAAATTCAGTGAATATAATCGGTAAAGTAACTTCTGCCAACAACCTGGGGTCAGAAAATGAAACATATGCCCATACTTTTAAAAATATAATTTCTTTGTTTAATTTGGTGAACCACTTAAAAACTGTAGAACCTGATCAAGTATTTCATATTAAAACATACTCTATATGTTTTGTTTTATATTACTTTGACATGCAGCTACATGTGGTTCAGAAAATATCAATAGATGGAACAAAGATGGGACGGCTTCCATTTTCTTTTATTTTTCAACTCACCCATAGCCACAGACTACTTGAGCTACTTGTCCAATATTGCAGATTTTAAATTAATAACAGGATGAGAAATAACAGTGGAAACTTTTGGCTTAAATCTTTAATTCCTGAACATGAAATTCTTCAATATATTTATTTATTAATAATTGTTATCTCAGAATGTATTTAATATAGCAAATAACATTTTCAAAAACATATCTTTTTATATATCATAGTTGAGGATTAAAAATTTCAGGCAAATCAGAGATAGTCGAACAGAAATTGAGATACAAATTTGATGATTTGAAATGGAGTGACTTGTATTCTCTAATTTTCCCTCAAATCATCTTTTTTTAGATTCTCATGAAATAGTTTTGCAAAACGGACTTTTTTGGCAAAATCTCAGATTTTTTATTTAATACATGAGAGGCCCAACGTCTTAAAAGCTTTGCTTTAAAGTGCTGTTTGGTGGTTCGCTGAAGCTATTAGTCCTTGTAGAATCCTCTTAAAACACAGGTTCTGAGTTGCACCTGTGAACCTTCAGTATTGAAAACTCTTATGTTGAGGACATAAAAGTTATTAAAAAAAAACTCTTCAAAGAATTTTAAAGTGAGGACAACCTAGAGTTGCAACACTATGACATGCTTTGAGAAACACTTTGGAGTAATCCTGAGAAACGTCAGTAAGACATGCAAACAGACCGGTATGACCCTTTACCAAAAGTGTCACCAGTCCTTAAACTCATCTATAAACACAGAATAATAGACAAAAGAAATCTAAACTGTTTTCACACTGTCTGTGGTCACTATCATTCAGAAGAAACGCCGGCAGCAGCCTGAAGACTCAGGAAGTGGGAAGACACAAGAAAAAAAACAAAGGGGTTTACTAAAGCGACCTTTAACTATTTACTGTTGTTATTGCTGTTAGGAAAGTTGCCTGAGGAACCAAAAAGGCCTGAACCACCACCTGCAGTTGTTGAAGGTGGTATTCCAGACATTTAATGCTAAAAAAGTACAACAGTAACAAAGATATGAAAAGACTAATAAAGTAACTTTTTACTGGCTTTAATAACAAGTCAGCGGTTAAAAATTAACGGAATAACTTTGTTTTTTAAATAACGTCTTTTCAGAATTTAATGAAATCATTGTTCCCTGTAACATCATAATCCTATAAATAAATATAAAGCAACTTCTGTTTTACATCAATCAATGCAAAATCAGGAAGGAGTGAAATAACACAGCTGGGGATTCCTTCATAACCAGCATGTGGGAACACAGTTCTTAATATGTTCTGTACAAATGTGTTGTTAGCCAGTCGTGTGAGCCCATTGAGTTAACAAAGTCTTTTTTGCTGCTTGTGATTGTGTTTGCTTTTGGTGTCAGTAGTTCGCTTTGTAACTGTAACTTTGTAAAACTCTAACCAGATCACACATCTAATATTGGAGCCATGTACCTGTATTTGTAACTGAAATATGCACTGAGTTTATTACAGACACGAATGTTGTTATTTAAGTTTAGATTACATTTTTATTTTTAATATCTTACTTTTTTCCACTTTTCACACGGCAGCAGGTGGACAAAGCATAAAGTCAGCAACGTTGTTCTTTACATAAAACAAACTGTGACAACTTTCACTTGATACTGATGATCCATTTAACAACTTTAACTCAACAAGCATGTCAATGAACAAGACACGTATGTGTATTCCAGATGTAGTCCTAAACAGAAAGCTGATTTAAATGAATGTACCTAGCAGAAAGTAACTGTCTTTTTATGTTGTCTAGACCCTGTGATCACTGGTGGACTCTCTGATATTTATGCTCTTCGTGGAAAACCAGCTGAATTGACCGTGACGATGAACATAGACTGTGAAGGCACCTGGTATAAAGACGGAGAGCAGGTCAAGCTAATAACTAGCTAGCAATATGTTTTGGGAATTGATCTAATACCTTCATTTACAGTCATTTGTGGGTTCAAGAAAAAAAGTGAAGAAAATCCATCATTCCTGCATCTGATCTGAAGATTTGATTTGTTTATTTGATTTGATTTTTAGTTAAACTCAGGTAATGGGATCACCATAGCCAAAGACGGAACTTCCCACAAGCTGTTAATTGGAAACTGCAGTGAATACGACACTGGAGTGTATCGATTTGTAACAGGGGACCAGAGCACACAAGGAAAAATCATTGTTGGAGGTATAACTTCCTATTGCTCATTGTGAAACTTGTATTAAATGACACAGCAGTTACAGTGCTTTAAATGAACTTGTGCTGTGTTTCTTAGGTGTACCCGAATTTGACCCCGACGACCTTCACAAGTTCTCCAAACCTGTGGTAGTAAGAGTGGGCCAGAACGCCGCTTTCAAGATGCCCTTTCCTCCTCAGGAGTCTTTGGTGGTTAGCTGGTTTAAGGATGGAACCGAGATCAAAGATGGAGGAGGAGTTAAGATTGTGAGGGAGCCCAACCACAGCCGGCTGCTGCTCAAAGACTGCCTGCGGACTGACGCAGGGGAAATAAAGATCCAACTTAAAAACCCATTTGGGTCTGTAGAGGCCACATCTCGCCTTATTGTGCTTGGTATGAAAACACAAAAGAATCTAATGAGAAAAGTGAGAATGCAGAAGCTTTACAAATGAGATTTCTAGTATTTGCTTACCTCTACATTCACAGCCATTTTCAAACACAATGGAAAAACAACTCAAACATCTCATACGTGTCACTACATTTAAAATTGAACACCATGTTTTTCTAACAGATCGACCCGGTCCACCGGAGGGTCCAGTGGAGACTGTTGAAACCACCTCATCTATTATTGAGATTAAATGGAATCCTCCCAAAGACGATGGTGGCTCTGCTGTAACCAACTACATTATAGAGCGGCAGCAGGCGGGACAGAGTCTGTGGACGAAACTTGGGGATGTCTCAGCTGACAAGACCTCATTCAGAGACAGGAACGTGACTCATGGAAAGAAATACAACTACCGCATCCACGCTGAAAACCCAGAGGGCATCAGCGACGCCCTGGAGACAGCTGATAGCATCATGGCTGGAATAATGAGTGAGCACAGAAAAGAGAACTCTCATTTAGCATTCCTCAGTAAATCCCATGTTAATCTCCATCAGGTTGTAATAAAGGGAAAATGCCTCTGGATAGGTTGTGAGATTGCTGAAAATCGTTTATCACTGGCACTATTTAGTCACTGAAGAAAGCCCGTCTTTTATCATCGCTGTAATAATCTGTCGCAAAGAGAAATTGTTTGCAATCCAGCAGAAATAACATAGATGTGCCTAATTTATTCCATGTGTTTAATCACTTTTTAATTATTAATGATGAGCTTGCTTAATTAATTAGCCTACTTGTCATTCCTTAGTACTTGCTGGTCCACCCGGTGCCCCCACTATAGTGAGTGCCTCAAAAACCTGTATTAACTTGACGTGGACCCCTCCGGAGGACGACAAAGGCATACCGATCATTGGTTACCTGGTGGAGAAACGAAAGAAGGACACACATCAATGGATCGCCCTAAATGCACTGAATGAACCTATTGAAGGTTTGCAAAAACAAAAGCATCCCTTTGTGTAAGGATTAAAGGACAGGTAGCACCTTTTTCAGATTGTGCCCTTCACCTTGCCGTCAATGTTGCTTTCAGATGTGAGCTATGCAGTTAAAGATGTCACCGAGGGAGCAGAGTACGAGTTCAGGGTCTCAGCGATCAACGAGTCTGGAGCTGGAGATCCGAGCCCCCCATCTGCAATGGTGTGTGCAAAGAATCCCAACAGTAAGTAATGACTTCCTTCACTGTGAATATTCATGACTTAACTTTGTTATCCAGAGCAGTGTTTGTTCCTATCTGAATTTCATGTTTTGTGTGTTTTCTTCCCAGTGAGACCTTGTTTTAAGAACCCAGAGGACTTCATTGTTGTCAGAGCGGGAAATTCTGCTCGTGTAAAAATTTGTTTTGAGGTATGAATGAACTAAAAATCAGGATTGCATACAGAGTCCTTCCCTGGTTGAAAAAAAATAACAATAATCCTAAATTCATCATGTCAATCTTTTCTGCATATCATATTTTATCCTCCCATTCCAACCTTGTCATTCCCTTTTGAGTGATGAGTCTCCCACAGAGTGACAAGACTAGGTATGTCTCATACTTTATCTCATTTATCTGATATTGATATCTCCAGGCTGAACCGCCACCTCAGATCACATGGCTGAAGGATGATGAGCCCATATCCCCGTGGATTAATATCATCAATACAGATGGAATGTCTCAGCTTGTTATCCCCTCATCAAAGCGCTCAGATTCAGCCATCTACACCATTATAGCCAAAAACTCTGTGGGGGAGGCTTCATTTGACGTTGAAGTTAGAGTCACAGGTGGGACAAAGTAACATGATTTTGAACTATGAATAGTGCAAAAAAACAAAAAAAAACAAAGGTCAATATCAAATGTGCATTAGTTTTACAATCCTCAGGTCTTTAACCTGGCATCTGCATGCGTGGACATCACATTTTGGGTTATATTATCACAGTAGTTACTTTTTTTATTTTTTTAAATGATTTTATTATTATTATCATTATTATTGTTATTTATTTAATGTATTTTTTTCCCTATTTTTTATTTCTCTATTATTTTTTTCTAGTTGATCAGATCAAATAGCAAAGAGAAATAAAAAATACATCTCTAACAAGAGTTCAAGTCTTAGGAGGTTAAAAGAGGAATTCTAGTGTTAGAAAGGAAGGATTATTTTAATGTCCTGCACTGTGCTCCTCTGGCCAGGGAAAACCAGTTGTAACACTGGACAACATTAGCTGGGTAAAATATAGTCAATTAAATGCCAACAATACACCAGTGTATTGACAAGCCAGTGTCAAATCATTCGGCATTTAACACTTGCTAAATGCAATTCTGGCAAAAACCCAGAGGAGCACAATCTCTTGAGACTAAGGTAAGATTATATTAAGCTTTAAAGCAGTCACATTACAAATCGACTGATGAAAACTGCACCTTAGCAGCAGGCTGTTCCCCCTTTCTGCAACCTAGTGTGCATTTGCAATTATTGTGCAATTTCTGCATCTGTTACTAGATGAGCCAAAGACTCCAGGCCCAGTGGAGTTAGAGCAAACAGTCCATGGCAAAGTGGTGGTATCATGGGCTCCCTCTCCAGACGAGGAGCTGGATGACCGCCTGTACTATGTGGTTTCTCAGCACGACTCCAACGCCAGAGTCTGGAAAACTGTGGCAGACCGCCTTTTCGCAAACACCTACACGGCCAACAACATCCTCCCTGGGATAGAGTATCATTTCCGAGTCTACGCCAAGAATGATATGGGTCTCTCAGATCCATCTCAGTCACCTACGTGGGGCGCCAACAGCAACAGAGGTGGTTATGTTTGATAGTTTAGTGCACAACATTTAACTATTTCAGCCGTAATCAGTTGTATGTTATTTGTTCAGAGTGGTCTAGTTCGTGTTCACCACTCATCCAGCTACTCTATATCCGTTTCTATATACTGCATTGCTACTGCAGTAACTACACAGAAAAAGTCACCACACTCCAAAAATCACACAACTAAAACAGCTTTTTTTTTTTGTATGTTCCAATTCCCGATCACTCCCTTAGTTACAGTCGGCACTATATAGAAAAGAAGAACGCTAGTACGCATATACCTGTGCCTGCTACTTAAAAGGAATAAAACAAGGTTAATCTCTTGAGACCTCCCAGATGCACTCCCAATCACTAACCTTGCACTTTGAAATTAATGATAATTTGAATAAGTGCTACGCTGCAGCTTTTTAAAATTGGGTTAGTTTTTGGATCTTATATCAAGATCATGTGACCTAAATACTAACTTTTACAATTCTTTCTCTTTTATTCTTCGCTTTAAGTTCCAATCGTTTCAAATGGAATTAGTAAAACAGAGATCTGCTTTGAGAGGCCTCCGTCCATCTTGGTCCCTTTGAAAGTCCACACACCACCTAAGGGCTACCAGCTCTACATGACATGTGCAGTCCGAGGATGCCCTACGCCCACTGTATCCTGGTTCCTGAATGACGTCTGCATCAACTCAGACAACAACTACTACATCACCAACTCATTTGGTGTGTGCTCCATGTACATTCTCAGCGTCCGACAAAAGGACAGCGGTGAATACAAGGTGGTTGCAGTAAACCCTCTTGGCAGGGCAGAGTGTTCCACTAAACTTGTTGTTAAAGGTGAGCTTTGAAGAGCTTGACTGTTTTTTCAGACATGGTTTGTTGAAATGGCTTGTTTTATAATGATTATTTATCTTTTTTTTTTTCCACAGAGTAAAATGACAAGAAGCCTTCTTGGAGCATTTCCTCTTATTGAAGTGTTCTGGAAGATAAGGAAGTGGATTGTTTGGTTTTCTTCATAGACTGCAAAGCAGAATCACACACTTTGATTGCAAAGTGCTGGTAAAGCCATCTAAAATGGTCTGAATATTAATTTATTTATTTATTGTATTTACAGTTGTGATTAGAAATAATTACAATTCAACTTGAGTGAAGTGACAAACTACTGTACAAAGACGTCTGTTAAATTCTCAAGCTGCGGCAACAATTGCAATAAATCACCAAACTGACATGTGTGCCATGTGGTTCTTTTAGTCTTGCCATTGCATTGTGTCTATATTAATAACTTTATATGTCTTCTTCACTGACATATAGAAACTCAGTTAAAACAACATGTGTTTCAACATGTGTTTCCAGTCCCACATGGCTCCAATATATGAGCCCATGACACCACAGTGCCACATTAAGCACTTATGAACCGAGTGCACATTTTCATTGCATTTCCATATATATCCACCTGGGCTATGCTGTAAATGGTCTATAAGAAGATCTCTGGCCGTAAATAAATCAGGCTTCAGTACTCGCTACAGCAAAGAATCACCTTTAATTAAGGTTGCCAATGACTTGCTGCTTTCTTTAGACACTGATAATTGTAGCATTTTCATTCTTTTAGATCTCAGCACAGCTTTTGCAAGGATTGACTGCTGCTTTCTTTTAAGCCAACTGTAGGTTGGCATCCAGGGCACTGTGCTGTGGGGGATTGAATCCTACTTAGCAGACAGGTTATTTTCTGTTAAAATAAAGTTACCCGATCACTTGTGGAGTACCTCAAGGGTCCATCTTAGGGCCTATTGATCGATACTGTATATTCTACATTTAGGCTCACAACATAATGTCCCCTTCCATTATTGCACTGATGACACATAAATATATTTGCCTTGGAATTCCAACAACTCCACCTCCCCGATCACATCCATCCTAAACTGTCTCCAGGAAGTGAAGTGCTAAATGGGTAAGCCTTTGACAGTAAACATACATGCTCATGAGGGGATTCTTGGTTTCATCTTTGACTCAGCACTGACATTTGACAAACAGACTTGGACTGTGGTAGCAGGTGTTCCTTTCAACAGCTCTGTCTAAAAAACGTGAAGACTGTGACCACTGCGCTAATTTCTTCAAGGCTTCCTGTAACTCACTGTACCTGGGTATTAGACAGCCCTTACTGTCACGTCTGCAGCTGTTACAAGACTCCCAACCATGCCCTGAATACCTGTGAAATACGGAATTGATATTTAGGTTCTTCTATTTGTTTATAAAACCATGTATCGGTTGAAACCTGGGTATATTTCAGAACTCTATCTCTGGCCTCTTAGATCCTCAGACCAGTTGCTCCGGGATCGAGGCTAGCTGGTAATAGAGACTGTCCCTTAGCAGTAGCTGCTCCAAAGTTTTGGAGTAACTTTCCTATTCCACCCAAATGCTCCTCCTCCATTGAGATATTTTCAAGAAAAATCTCAAGATGTGCATGTTTTCATCGATTTTGATTGTTCTCAGTGGTCATAATATATTAATATTATGTTTTTATTTTAGAATTTGATATTACAAGTTGTTATCCTGCCATAAGTAGTTTTTATATTTTATTTTATATTTATTTTATTTTGTTTTACTAATTGAATTTAGAAGTCTTTGCCGAGTCCTTTTTTGCTCATATTTCTGTTGCTGCCTGTCTTGTACTTTGTACAGCACATCGGTCAACTCAGGTTGTTTAAAAAAAGAAATGCTTTATAAATAAACCTGATGTGACTTGATTTGATAGATTTTTTTTCTATCTACAGTCAACCAATGCAGGGAGGGCTTTAAGAGAGACAATATGTTTAAGGCCTCGCACGTACAGAGCTGAAAAACAGAGTCATATATATATATACACAGTGCATTGACATTACTGGGTTAGTTATTGTTGTACATAATGTGACATCCACAACAAGCCTGGCAGCTGTTAGTGTAGCCTGTTCTCCTATTAGCACAGTTGTCTGTGTGCTTGCGTTATGTAACTGTGCTTACCTCATTTCCTTTGCCAGGTCAGGGGTGATATTTGTGTTTATCTCCAATCATGTCATCGGGAATTTCTTGTAGTTATGTCACAATCTCTTTTACAAGGTCGAGGTGACTATTCAAACTGTCTGGATATGACAAGCTTGCTTAACCTCTGACAATGTGAACACAAAAACCTGCTCAGTACACTGTGTCCAACACACCACTGCCACCACGAGCCATCATCTTTTTATAATGCCACAGCAGGTCGAGTGTGACCCAGCAAATGCCGCAGGCATGCTGTGAGAATTTCTGTTGATACATATGGAGGCTAATTGGAACAGCCCATCCATTCATATCAATCTGAGATTATTTTACCAAATAAAATGTCTCATGTTAATGTTTACTGACCAATAAAGCCCATCGTGTAGTTATCGTATTACTTGTGTCCTTCTGAAGCTGCCAGTCAGAAACGTTTGGTTAGATGGTTTGAGTGTTGCGTGTGGAAAATTGTATTTCATGCATTTCGAATCCATAAATCATAAAGCCTCAAGCATGGACATTAACTACAATGATGTGATTGTCATCAACGATATTATACTAGAATTCATCATAGCTTTATTTAAATTTGACGAAATGTAATTCTAGACATTAAAATATGATGCTGACGGTGTTTATATTCTCAACAGTACTGATGGAAAACTGTTGACTGGATATCTCCAATACCAGATTGAATGAACAGTCATAATGTATTTCAAGTGCCCACTGCAAAGCGATCGCCTTCAAAGGGATCCGTTTACCATTGCTGTAATATGGGATTTTACCAACTGCCCAAGTTAGGCTTTCTATGCGCTCCAAACTTTTATCACCGAACAAAAAGGGGTGTCACTTTCGAAATATTGGATAGAGGGAAGAAGTACAAGCTGAGGGCAGATAGCTGAACATAGTCGACAAAGAACTGAAAGTAAGTACAAATCTTTTATTTAGTTTTTTAACAGTGTCAGTCATTTATCAAACGACGAAAAAGTAGCAACAATATTCTGAATTTGATGTGTGACTGAAACTCTCATGCAGGATGGTTTTGATAAACAAGAGAAGTCTGGAAAGCTGCAGGATTATTTAAATCTGGCACAAGAGAACTCAGCATCATTTGATGAAAGAGACCGATAGTAGGGCTGACCAACATTACAGTTCAGTTCTTGTAAATTATTTGGCTCTAACTGTTCAATATATGATACTAGTCGACTTTAGAACAAATAGTTGTATGAGTGATTAGGTAGCTTTATAAGTTTATCAATTTCCCGCATATAATCGAGAAAAAATAAACAGGATTTGTCTGGCCTAGATAGGCACAAGATCGCATTTATAGGCTGTGAAAGCATTTGGTTCTGCTGCTGCAGAAGTCACATAATCCTGATAAAAACAAACGAGGACAATGACTAAAGTACAGCTCAGTGTTATATTTTTAAGAATTTAATGACGTGCAGATACAGTACTTATGAAGTACAAAATAAAAATGTTCATGGCTAACCAACATGGAGAAAACAAGAGGAATGGAATAATATACTATACACTGACTGTTGCAGGCAAAGGAGTGATGTCTCCCTGAAATGTTTTTGTGCTGTCGTGCAAGTGTTAATGCAAAAAAGAGGCAGAAATCAGCCTTGACAACAAATCTAAAAATAAAAAATAAAAAAGAGAAAAATAATCTCTATTGAGATCATCCTTTACTAACACTAAAGATCTCATAAGTGTGCCACATTTCGTAGAGAACTCTAACCTGCCCAGCTGGCTTCCCATGACCATTACTGAGCAGCCGCCCATGATCAGTTTGCACTACAGAATGTGTGACACATTGAGACTTGATAAATATGTTTTACTGGGTTATAGATGGACAGATATCCTTTTTCACATTTTTTAGTGTTCTTCGTATGGTCCTAAAAATTAAAAGACTGTGTAAAAACCCTTATGGCCATAATTTGATATATCGCCCATTTTGTTTGAATAAAAAGCCTTTCAGTTCTGCAGACACTGAAAGAATTAGTCAACTACCTTAAAGATTAGAAGTACCCTGCATTAACTGCCATGCACTGTTACTTGTCCTAAAGGTCAGGAGGATGATAGTCAAAAAGTATCTTCAGTTTACTGCCTACAGCTCAGAGCTTCATGCAACTCTGTATCTCATTACCACTTTTTTAAATTTAAAAATTATATGTACATTTTCACCTTTTAACACACAACAAATCCACTTGAGCGCTTCAGATAAGCAGTTTGAGTTTGCAGCTTATCTTCACTCTTTTGCTCATGGTTAACAGCTAAACCCCTAATGACAACCACTGTGCAAAACTTTATATTTAAGAGTTGACAGCATGAAAAAGATTTACAGATATGTGCATCGGCTTAACAGTTTCATGCAAAGACTCTCTGCTCCTTTCTATGTTTGGATCTTGCGTAGTTAAATTTCTGGCACAGCTAGATGACTCCACAGGCGGTTGGGAAGAGTGAGCCGCTAGGTGGGATTTCACATTCCCCATTTACAGTGTCCCAGCATGTCTCCAACTGTCTGCACGAGTCACGTAGGAGTCATGGCATCCCCACTTTGACAGGCTGATGTCATATGGTAACATAGATGATACATGAGGAGAAGCTCAAAGGCAGGGTTTCTCAACCTTTTCTGGCCTATGACCCTGTTTTTAGGTGTCCCAGATTCTCAAGACCCCCGCAGTTACACAGCGGTCAAGTTGAATCATGTGATGCTGACTGCACTCATTGACTGTGAAGGGTCAGCCAAAATGAATTATATGAAAGTTACTTGATTAGAGCTCAAATGATTAGTCAACGAATCCATTAGTCGATCAAGATAAAACTTATTAGCAAGTATTTTCACAAAAGATGAATCTTTTTTGAAGAATGAATGCGTAAAATTCACAAATTGAAGATATAATATAATCGATATATTTATATCTAATAAAGCTATGGCCATTTGTCGTGTTCTTATGTATCATGATTATAGTCAAGATTTTGTGAAACTGCCATAAAATGTCGGTTTACAGCGACAGAAACTTGTAATTTTAAGATATTCTAATGAGTAGAGAGCCACAGGTTGAGAAAAACTTCTACAAAACCTGTAGAGGCAAATAAAGACTGCCAAACGTCTCTGCTGAATTTGAACAGAAAACTGATTTTCTTTTTCATGATTCTTTTCGATGATATTTTGTGGTCAATGATAAAGCTTAGGAAACTATTTAACTGCTAAAGT